AGACCTGCGATCGGAGCTCCCTTTTACCTTTCTGGGCCAGCACACCAGTCAACCTTCACCACCCAAATTTTTGTCGCTCAACCGTGCAGTTAAAAACTATATCTGGCAATTCGTGACGACGAACACAAATCGTCTGCAACAGTTCCACGCGGGCAGCTTCCCACGGCCCGAAAAAAAACAATGGTGAATCATTCCGGGATCGTATCTGAACTCGCAGTGGCTTCGGTTTGAACCGCAAACGAAATAGAACCAGGAGGCGTGCATTTGAAACTAACAACCCCGAATTAAGTGGCACCCTCGTGAAGCCACGCTTAATAGGCTTACTAAGCGTGTCACAGAGGGCCCTTTTGTTGAAAATGTAGGATTTGTATGAGAGATCATTAGTTAAGGAGCTAAGCGGTGATTTCACCGTTTTGTCGGTGGTACAGCCCAACATTCCTCCCTCGGGCCAGACAGACAGGCACAGCATCTTCCCCTCCTTAAAAAATGTCATTGAACGAGTTTGCAGAGGCAAAGACGTGATAGCAGTAGCGGGTCCCAAGCGGTGTCTGTTGGGGAAACGAGGCACGCAATTTTGGGTTTGAACCCAGGGCCTCTTGCCAGGTCAAGCCAGCTTCGGGGCATCGCGGTGGCTAGGAGATGTTATCTCCCTCTCCTGGTATACAGGAGGTCGTGGGTTCGATTCTGACTCTGATGCTTGTTACATATTTGGAGTTTGCAAGTCTTTCTCTCCCTGTGCTCGCGTGGATTTTTCTCCAGGTCCTCCGGGTTTACCCTTCCACATTTAGAAACATGCGATTAGAGTATTCGGCTGATATAAATGTTCATATGATAAGCCACTTCTTTGAGCTATCATTTGTTGCCAGATCGCTTCTAAAGAACAGCTGTATAGCTCAGTGGGCCCTTACCTGGTAAAATACAAAATAGTTTCAACGTTTTCGGATATTCAGCGAGTTTTGTGATCTCAGACCTGGCCACGAAAGTAAAAAAAAACTCAAACTCGCTTTGAACTTTATCCGAGGCGGGTTCTTGAGGATGCGTGCTGGAAATATTTGGAGGTTTGGCGCAGATAATTATCCAACGAACTCGTCTGCACGGCTTGAGAGAGCCGCAAACTGCTTCGGAGCCGCATACTGCGGCTCCGAAGCCGAATACCGCTCTTTAGGGACTGATTCGTGCAGTTGTTCGCATGTGTTGTGGCTCTTAAAATATAGAAGTTTTTGTTGTTTTGGTTGCTGGCCACGGGACGAGGTGTGTTTGTGTGTATGAGAGCACTGCAGGAGGGTACAATTAAGTAAGTAGTATTTAAAAATACTTTTTTTTTTAAAACACGTTTTAATGAAATGTACCGTACTAATAATGGCAGAACCCCACGACTCCAGGAAGTGGCCCCGAGGCTTGCCACAACGTAAGGGGGACCGTGTTGATTTACAGCCAACGTCAGTTGAGCGTGGACAATTAGACCCAAGCCGAAACATAACGTATAAAAAAGATTGTTTAAAAATATTTTTTGTTAATGATAGAATACTGTATTGTCACCGGTATGACATAAGTATACCAGGTTTGCAGTCGATACGACATTTGTAAGTGGGTTCAAATTGAGTTACAAGATTTTTTTGAGGATATGAGAACAGACAGAGTGAGCTAAATAAAAGCGTGTAATAATAATAAAAAGGGGCCCGTGATTCCACTTCTGGCGTGTGTGTGTGGATGTTCTGCACTATTTGGCTGTGCCGTCATAGGAATATTTAAACAGGGCATCGTCGAATGTCCACGTGGTTGTTTTGAATTATTTGAAGTGCCTTTCAGTGCGGTGGTTGAGTTGTGAAAGTCCGAGCTCACGATTCCAACGTTAGCTGTGATACAGGATGCTGCCGGGCATCGCTGTTGACAAACCTCACTGCCTCTCAGCAGGTTACAGGTTTGCCTCGTGGTGAGGGGTTAACCCCCTACCTACTTGGCTCACACCTTTGAGAAGTCAACACCGCTCGAAGGGGAGTCAGGGCTGGCTTTGCTGCCGATTTACCTCTCAAGATAGCGTTCAGAATCCGACACGGAGCTTTCTATTATCGCGGTTGGCTATGTACGGTACGAAAGAAGTTCAACATCCACTACGGGCTGGGTCAGAGGGCAAATTACCGGTGGTCCGGTCCATTCCGAGGGTCGGTGGGTGACCGGGCTGTGTGGGGAAATTGAAAATGTGATTACAATAACACAAAAATGTGTTTTTATTATTTTTTCTTTGGGGCTGCCGAGTGTGTGTGACTTATGATACAACTGAGAGCGTCAATAAGCAAATGAAGGGTAACATATTGTAGGTAACAACGTTTTGATGATTTTTTTTTGTTATAGAAAACAGATGTTATATTTTACGTAATCTTACATTTATAAAATATCTAATTTTAAGTACATTTATTGTTTCGCTCTGTTACGCATCATTGCTGATTGACGCTCGTAGTTGGCATTAATTTCTCCACCATACTCAGCAGCCCCAAAGATTCTTCCTCACCGCGGCCACCGAGTTGTGCTTTTTAGACCAACATCACACCAACACGTCATCACATCACACCAAAAACGTCATCACATCACACCAACACGTCATCACATCACACCAACACGTCATCACACCAACACGTCATCACATCACACCAACACGACATCACATCACACCAACACGTCATCACATCACACCAACACGTCATTACAACATCACAACATCACGTCATCACAACATCACACCAAAACGTCATCACATCACAACATCACGCTAAGAACACTCCCATGATAGAGGTTTGTGGGTAAGATTCACGTCAATATCAATGTGTTGTTAAACCCGCCAAGCATCCCGGACACAGCCAATTAGTCGTAAGGGTTGTGACGTAAACAGAGCGTGGCCAAATTTTGATTTAAAGCTTTCGTGACTGCAGTAAATCATATTCTTAGCTCTTTCGGTAAAGTCACGTTGAAGGGAAACAATAAAATATATTATTATATTTTATATATATTTTATTATTTTATTGTTTCCCTTCAACGTGACTTTACCGAAAGAGCTAAGAATAAGAGCGTGGCCAATTCGTGACTAGTACAGCACACCGGTGTGTTGGAGAGTAAAACCACAGCATTTACACTTGCCTCTACAGTCTGTTAAGGCTATAGGGAGATCTTTGTCTTTCAGTTTCATTTATTTGTTATAGCCCTGTGAGACATTCGCCTCTTGAATCGGGTGCAACCGCAACAAACAAAAAAACATGAACAAGAAAAACATCTTAAAGTGACTTTGTGTGACTGTGCAAACAGAAAATCACCTCCAGCGTGGTGAACATGTGAACTGTTTCAGCATTTCCACTTTAGAACGAATGCCCACTGGGAAACATTGATCTGGTGTTTAAAAAAAACACACACACAACAAGGTCCGGTTACAGGTTTTGTGTTTTTATTAAATTCTTAAAGTGGTTTGGCACCGTTTTGAGATCTAAAACCCCGATTTGCTAAGGTAATCCATTCCATGGATTCCCAACCATTATTCCACTTTTGGTGGATATCCCTTGACGATCCTGCCGAGTCTGTTCCATTATCTGAGATGTGAATCCTTTTTTTTGTACGCTGAGTTAAACCACCGCCACTGCAGGCCACAGCGCCGCTCTCTCCGCCTCTTCCCTCGCACTCCTCCACCGTGGTATCCCCTCTCCCATCGTCGTCTCCTGTAACAACGTTACGTCCTCTGTGTTGAACGTCTTTCGCACCGTACGTAGCCAACCGTGCTGAACGAAGGCGCGGTCGAAGTGTAACAAACGAAACACAAGAAGCAGTTCTGAAGAAATTAGTTTTCAATCGAGATGAACACATTCTCCTGCGGAGGGAGCTGGTAGGAACGTTGGATTGCTCGGTCAATGGCCAGGGTCAACGGCGGCACCACGTGGTGGTGTATTCCGCAAATATGCCCGACTGTGAGGGCGGGCACAAGCCGGCGTGAGTAGGTGAAACGTTGAGTTTTATAAGGGCACCACGGGGTGACCAGCCCCTCCCCTCCCCACCCAGCCCTTCTCCACGCAGCCCCACCCCTCCCATTTGTGGATGCACGACGGACGGACGGACACAATAATCCCCTGTGGGCTGCTTGTGTAACCAGGAGGTTCCTACCAGTATTATTTAAAGCTCCCAGTGGCGCCCTAATATCGAAAGGAAGGGCGTTCCAGACGGCCGCAGAAGTGCATCTTGAAAGCATGCCCGATGCAGTGACCTTGCTAAATTCAAGGGGCGTATTCACTCTCATCATATTGCGCCTTTAAGTGAGTGCTCTTTGTTGCTGGCCGCTTGGCGTCTTGGGGCCTTCGGACCTCTGCGGTTCAGCGAACGCGATTCGCCACTAATTTCCTGACTCGCGAGTTGGGATGGACGAGTTCGCGCCCGTGGCAAGCTCGCCCCTGCGGCGGCGGGGTGGGGGGGTGGGAGGATTAATCTGTTAAAATATTGATTATTTTAGCAGATAAGGCCCACTTGAGGTGCATAGCTCTTATTCAGAAGTGACCTGGCTATATCACAAATTATTGCTCGCACAAAGTGGCTTATGTCAAAATGCATAGTAGCCAAATACTCTCAACGAATGATTCTGAATGTGGAGGGGAAAACCCGAGGACACGGAGAAAAATCCACGCGACAACGGGGAGCACGCCCAAACTCCAAACATACAACAGGCGTCAGGATCGGGATCGAACCCACGACCTCCCGTGTACCAGGCGAGGCAGTCAACACCCCACCACCGCGGCCCCCTTGCGGGACACATTAACATAACGCATCCCGCCGTGCAGCCAATGGGAGCGCAGCCTCGCGCGGATGGGAGGGTGGGGCTGCCTCGCGCCCACACCTGAGCCCAGGTGAGCGGTGCTGGGCGGAGTTAGCCCCCTTAGCCCCGCCCCTCTCCCCCCGCGGGGTGGGGCTGCCTCGCGCCCACACCTGAGCCCAGGTGAACGGTGCTGGGCGGACTTAGCCCCGCCCCTCCCCTCCCCCCGCGGGGTGGGGGTGGGGCTGCTTCGCGCCCACACCTGAGCCCAGGTGAACGGTGCTGGGCGGACTTAGCCCTCTTAGCCCCGCCCCTCTCCCCGCGGGGTGCCTGCCAGGCTGTGCGTGCTGCGTTGCAAGGCGCGTGCAGTAGCAGCAGCAGCAGCGGGCAACACGCGAGAGGCCAGACATGGCCGAGAAGATGGACAAGGCAGGTGTGTAGCTGCTGTGCCCTCTCCGTTGGCTGTCTCTGTGCATGGCGTTGTCTTTTTGTGTGGTGGGGGAGCGGTGGTGCAGTGGTTAGCGCGTCTGCGCCACGAACGCGGCGGCCCGAGTTCGATCCACGCTCGCGGTCAACACCCGGTGACGATTATTTGGACCGGTCCTGGGTCTCCCCTAGGTCGGCTCAGCCTCAAATAAGTACCCAGCGAGGTGTGTAAACATCGCCACGAGGGAGGCAAAGGTGGTCGGGCGTGGTGCTGGCCCACCCACCCCCTCGCGTACCGTTCTGGCCTTCATAGGTGCTGCTCGCTTAACAGCACTTGCCCCAAAAGTCTCTTGCGCCTATACGGGGGATCTTTGTATGGACAATTAAACTTCTTTTGCACCGTACGCAGTAGCGAACCGCGAAGTGCGGGGCAATGCCTACCGACTATACACAAGAATATAGTTAATGAGAAACGAGTTTTCAATCTAGATTTTTTTTTAAAAATTTGCGTAACCACGTTTGTGCCTCTCCGTTGGCAGCTCAGCGCAGTGGATGGTCCACATTCCTTTGGCGAATCGAGAGTTGATATATATGACACGTATCACTGTTGGACGTCGGTACAAAAAAAAAAAGTGGTACTGATTTTTTCAACCCTCGGGGAATGATCGGCAGATCCGACTGAGTAACCAGGAGGCTGTAACGGCATCAGTGGAATTATCGTTGAGGGTTTGGCGTAACCCATAATCACGCCAGGGTGCGATAAAATTGGCACCAGATAGTAAGCCCAATCAACTTAGACTTAGCGGGAAGGCCAAAGCGGCATTCTTCTAAAATCTAAATGAACGTAACAGGTTCGGTTGAGTGATTGAGACGACGGGAAAACATCAAGGGGGGTCCCATTCTGCTGCTGCTTTTGTTAAAGCAAAAGTCTCACTGACTCATGGCACACGGGCAGCGCGCGTCCCGAGAACAGCTGATTAGAGACGAAGCTCGCTCCGTTGGAGTGGAGATCGAGAGAAGTCGACACAGAGAGAGACAGCGGAACAGACGGTGGCATCAGAGCTCGCAGGTTGTCACTGTGGTAGTAACTACATTATCAGTGGTGTAGTAACTACATTATCAGTGGTGTAGTGGCTACATTATCAGTGGTGTAGTAACTACATTATCAGTGGTGTAGTAACTACATTATCAGCGGTGTAGTAACTACATTATCAGCGGTGTAGTGGCTACATTATCAGTGGTGTAGTAACTACATTATCAGCGGTGTAGTAACTACATTATCAGCGGTGTAGTGACTACATTATCAGTGGTGTAGTAACTACATTATCAGTGACGTAGTAACTACATTATCAGTGGTGTAGTAACTACATTATCAGTGGTGTAGTAAACTACATTATCAGTGGTGTAGTAAACTACATTATCAGTGGTGTAGTAACTACATTATCAGTGGTGTAGTAAACTACATTATCAGTGGTGTAGTGGCTACATTATCAGTGGTGTAGTAACTACATTATCAGTGGTGTAGGAACTACATTATCAGTGGTGTAGTAACTACATTATCAGTGTAGTAACTACATTATCAGTGGTGTAGTAACTACATTATCAGTGGTGTAGTAACTACATTATCAGTGGTGTAGTAAACTACATTATCAGTGGTGTAGTGGCTACATTACATTATCAGTGGTGTAGTAACTACATTATCAGTGGTGTAGTAACTACATTATCAGTGGTGTAGTGACTACATTATCAGTGGTGTAGTAAACTACATTATCAGTGGTGTAGTGACTACATTATCAGTGGTGTAGTGACTACATTATCAGTGGTGTAGTAAACTACATTATCAGTGGTGTAGTGGCTACATTATCAGTGGTGTAGTAACTACATTATCAGTAGTGTAGTAACTACATTATCAGTGGTATAGTGACTACATTATCAGTGGTGTAGTAACTACATTATCAGTGGTGTAGTAACTACATTATCAGTGGTGTAGTAACTACATTATCAGTGGTGTAGTAAACTACATTATCAGTGGTGTAGTAACTACATTATCAGTGGTGTAGTAACTACATTATCAGTGGCGTAGTAACTACATTATCAGTGGTGTAGTAACTACATTATCAGTGGTGTAGTAAACTACATTATCAGTGGTGTAGTAACTACATTATCAGTGGCGTAGTAACTACATTATCAGTGTTGTAGTAACTACATTATCAGTGGTGTAGTAAACTACATTATCAGTGGTGTAGTGACTACATTATCAGTGGTGTAGTGACTGCATTATCAGTGGTGTAGTGACTACATTATCAGTGGCGTAGTGACTACATTATCAGTGGTGTAGTAACTACATCATCAGTGGTGTAGTAACTACATTATCAGTGGTGTAGTAAACTACATTATCAGTGACTTAGTGACTTCATTATCAGTGGTGTAGTAACTACATTATCAGTGGTGTAGTAACTACATTATCAGTGATGTAGTGACTACATTATCAGTGGCGTAGTAACTATATTTTCAGTGGCATAGTAACTACATTATCAGTGGTGTAGTAACTACATTATCAGTGGTGCAGTAACTACATTATCAGTGGTGTAATAACTACATTTTTATCAGTGGCGTAGTAACTACATTATCAGTGTGGTGTAGTAACTACATTATCAGTGGTGTAGTAACTACATTATCAGTGGCGTAGTAAACTACATTATCAGTGGTGTAGTAACTACATTATCAGTGGCGTAGTAAACTACATTATCAGTGGTGTAGTAACTACATTATCAGTGGCGTAGAAACTACACGGCCTTCACAACCGCTGCTCGCTAACAGCACTTGCCCCAACAGTCTATGAGGCTGCACGGGGGATCTTTGTCCCGCTGACTTCTGAGACCGACACCAGCATAATGCCCCAGTGTACGCGGGAACTGATCTCCGTTTTTGGTCACCTGTATTCTGGGATTTCAAATCAATTCACATCCCTACACGTCACCAGGTGAGAGACCGTGGAGACGCGCGTGTGACCTCGTCGGTCGAACCGCGCGGTGCGAGTCGCTGCTCAAGTCTGTTGCGGCTACACGGGGGGGCCCTTTTTGTCTCCTCCGCAGACCGTTCGCTCACCGAGAGACTCATGGGCCGTCTGCACCCTCCACGGCTGAGCCGCAACCTCTCCCTGCGCCGGGAGAACACGGCGGCGGCGGCGTCACGCGGTGGGGCGGCTGGCGGGGCGCACACCATCGCACGCATCCCCCTCGCAGGCGGCGACCACAGGCGGCCGCACACCGCGTGCGAGCTCGAGCGGCCGGAGGAGCGAGAGGAGCAGCGGGCGGCGGCGGGCGCTGCCACCGGGAGGGCGGTGAGCGCCTGCGACATGGCGGTGGCGGGCACCCCGCTCGCGGAAGAGGGGGCCACCGGGACGCCCGGCGAGGCCGGGCGGCGGCCACTCCCGCCGTCGCCTCCCGAGAACAAGGCGAGTGAAATGCACCGCAGCACGGCGAGGGATGTGGGAGCAAGGCCGGAGACATCCCTTCGCAGGTGGCTAGGAGATGTGAGCTGACTCGCCTGGTACGCAGGAGGTCGTGGGTTCGATCCCGACCCTGACGATGCCTGCTGCTGTATATTTGGAGTTTGCGTGTCTCTCTCTCTCTCCCCGTGGTCGCGTGGATTTTTCTCCGGGTCCTCCGATTTTTCCTTCCACATTTAAATTTGACATCACGTGTTTAGAGTATTTGTCTACTGCTATAAATCCACGTGATGATAAGCTAATTCGTTGAGCTCTCATTTGTGCCCAGGCCCGCTTCTGAAAAATAGCTAATATAGCGCAGTAGGGCCTTATCTGTTCAAATAAAAGTTTATTTGTTTCTTTAGGCACAGAGACTGGTTGTCAAGCACATTGCCATCTGGCTAGAACAGCTTACAAAACATGGCATTGGCACTGATGGAAATTCTCATCAACAGACACAAATCTTAATTGTTTAGTTTAATATTTTGTTATTTTCGGTTTCACAATAGCGAGCTGCAGTGTCCGCAATTGGCACCGCATGCCGCTCGTCCATCACATTGGCCCGACATGTATTTTGATGGTGGCCTTGGGGCAAGAGGGCGTAGACCACAATGCACTTCTTCAGGAACTGCTAATGGGATTTGTTGTTGTTGTTGCTGCTGCATAATACACAGAGGCTGAATGAATGCTTATTGTCGATTGTTGAGTGCAGTCACTTGGCTCTCCACCACAGGAGTCAACGCTTGTCACCAGCCATGATCCGTTGTCTCTGTTCGCTGCGCTATCCGGGGCGGCACGCTGGTGCAGCGGTAACACTTGCGGCTTCATAGAAGTGGCGTAGTAACAACAACATCATCAGCTCAGGGGGGTGTGCGGCAATCGGTCAGGTGGGGCCCCCCAATATTTGATTTGTCACGCACGGTCGCACCCAGGCTGTTATGTGTCACGGACTTGTCTTGCCTAATCCACATCGTCGTTACGCTCACGGCCTCGAACATTGAACGCTGACGGGGTGCTCCTCCATCTTCGCAAAATTCAGCCACGACAGCTTCGTCGTACGGTGGTTGCAAGAGGGCCCCCCCTCAACTCGTAACTTCGGCCACGAGGGAGGAGATGGGGGGCAAGGCACCCCCCGCCTGCCCCCATGCTAGTTACGTGACTGCTTTGCGGCAGCAGCAGCAGCAGCACCCTGGGTTTGAATCCCGTCCCGGTTTGAATGATCTCCCCCTGTTCTGCATTGGTTTTTCCTCTCTGTTCTCCAATTGCCTCCGATGCATAAACAAAAAACCCACCCACAACCCATCTGGCGTTGGCCTAAACATCCCCTAATTACTCGGCTGGGTTTCCACGCGGCCTCTTCACGCCCTCGAATGAAAATGTGGCAGCACACTCCTGAAAAATGGTCTTGAGACTAACGAATGGTTAGCTGTGTATAAACGCGCGGAATAATAACTTGTCCACAGTGATGGTCACGGTTAGGTACCGTTAGCACGGTTGGCTACATACGGTGCGAAAGAAGTTCAGCATACGCACACATACATTGTTATTAATCTTCATCATTAATCTTTTCAATTAGGAATTTCGAGGCTAATTTTGTGTTTACTAAATACCTCTTCTCAGCACTGCATATGAAGATTTACAGATCACCTGCACAGCAGTTCGTATCTAACTCTGCCCTTTAACCTGGTTGCCTCTGTCGTCCGATAATAATGTGTCCACGGTGCCATGATTTATTGCTGCGTTCGTCTGCGTTTACAAGTTACATGTACTGTACCGTTCTTTCAAAAAACACATGGCAGGCAGTAAGGTGACTCGGTGGTGGAGACGCTGAGATCCTGGGTTCAACTCCAGCCGCCTCTGATTAAACCGGGTTCTCAAAAGTAGTGACTTGTCTCAGCCTGGCCACCAATCACGTTAAATTCGCTCTTTCATTTAACCCGTTCCCATTCTGAGACGTCTGCAAGTTGCAGGGTGGGTTGTCCCGTTCACCGCTGAATCTCGGAGCGAGCAAGAGGCTCAGCGTTAATTTTATTTAGAGAGGCGTGGTAGCGCCGTTGTTTTTAAAGAATTGTTACTCACAGCAGAGAACCGTAACGACACGACCGTACTCTACGATGGCCGGCGCCAAACTGTGCCAGACACCCTCCCGCATGGCCTTGTGGGAGCCTCGGTACCGATAAAGTTATTTTATTTTGTTTTTCTTCCTTGTTCCGTACAAGTATGTACGTCATTGGAACGGGAACGGAATTGAAGACAAACTGATGATGTGCGCGTCAAAGAAGCGGGTCCTTCTTTCGCACCGTACGTAGCCAACCATGCTGGAAGGAAGCGCGGTGGAGCCAGGCAGGCCAACCCGAGCTATTCTAACTAATTCGTATTTTTTTTTACTTCACCAGGTAAAGCCCACTGAGCTACGTAGCTCTTTTTCAGAAGCGACCTGGCCACAAAATGACAGGTCAACGAATTGGCTTACATCACGTGGAGATTTATTGCAGCCTCATATTGGCAGGGTGCGTGTATTGTAGCGGAGGTGACGCGGCTCACATCGGAGTCACACTCTCAGCCTCTCGTGCGCACTCTCTCTCACCTCCCAGCTCTCCTCCCCCCCCCCCCCTCTTCCGCCCACCCCCCTTCCTCCTCCTCTTCCTCCCTCGTCATACTTCTCAGATCACGTGGAAATTCGTTTTTATCACATCAGGGATGATGATGATGATCATGTTTGTAAGCTGTTCTAGCTAGATGGCAATGTGCTTGACAACCAATCTCTGTCTATAAAAAACAAAACTATGTTTATTTTACGAGGTAAGACCCACTGAGCTATATAGCTCATTTTTAGGAGTGAACTGGCTATCACAAATGATAGCTCAACGAAATGGCTTATCACGTGGAAATGTATCGCAGACAAACACTCTAAACGCGTGACGTTGATTCTAAATGTAGAGGAATAAACTGGAGGACTCGAAGAAAAGTCCACGTGCCCACGGGGAGAACACGCAAACTCCAAATATACAGCAGCAGCAGTAGGCATCGTCAGGGTCGGGATCGAACCCACGACCTCCTGTATACCAGGCGAGATAGTTAACATCTCCTAGCCACCGTGATGATGATGATGATGAGAGAGAGACACGCAAACTCCAAATATACAGCAGCAGGCGTCAGGGTCGGGATTGAACCCACGACCTCCTGTACACCAGGCGAGGTAGTTAACATCTCCTAGCCACCGTGATGATGATGAGAGAGAGAGAGACACGCAAACTCCAAATATACAGCAGCAGGCATTGTCAGGGTCGGGATCGAACCCACGACCTCCTGTATACCAGGCGAGGTAGTCAACATTTCCTAGCCACATCAAGTGAGCCTCACTTTGCTGCTGAAAGATTTGCTCCCAGGAGGCCGTGCAGTCAATGGGATGTGTAAAGAAAAATCGTTAAATTTCACGTTGAGAGACAAATACGCAAAGAAGGTGAAATTACTACTTATTTATTTTGCTATCTGCCTGTAAGACAGCTAATTGACTATTCGGTTAATCATTAACCCACTGGATGGAGGTGGCACTGCCCGGACGTCACCTAGTTCTCTGTCAATCAGCCCAGACCAATGCTAAAGGTCCCGTGGTGACGCGGGTGTTTCTGTTGTCCAGGTGCGCGCGCGTGGTGTGGCATAGAGTTTCATACATTATCATCATCAGCAGCAGCAGGCATGATGTATCTGCTGCTGGATGAAGACCTGCCCGAGGCATTGCCATCTTTCACGATTTTGCGATACCACATACTATAAGCCGACACTGCTCCTGGGCCTAACCTCCCCGTCTCATGAGTCATGAGACGCGTCTACGTGCGGCGAACCCGATCCTCGTCGATCGCTATCGCTGGTCGGATGCGATGCTCATCACACATGGCACCCGCCACCCGCCACCCTGCCGTCTACGGCACGTGGGGGTTCATTGTCTTTTTCCTTGAGGTCCACCTCCGGTCAGCACGGTCGGCTACGTACGGCGCGAAATAAGTTTAACCGACTTTCACACACACACATACACACTCCCTGCCCCTGTCTGTTTCAAGTCCAGGCTCTCGCTTTTCCTCTGCCTATGGGTCTTTGTGTACATTCCATGGTGACCCATAGACTCGCAGAGAAACCACGGGCTCAATCACTTGTCCATCTCGAGAAAATAAAAATATCTGTGGAGTTATCTCGCGATGCAGTCGCGTGTGGACACTATTCACGTGGCGTTGTTATTGTCGGTGGTGGTGGTGGCTGTTCATACGGCGGTCTCCGATGCGCGCTCCGCGTCTGTCCACGACCCCGGAGCGTGTTGGTGACCGGCTACGATTTAATGCTCAAGCTAAAACCTCGACGTCGTTGTTTGTGTGTTTGTGTGTCTGTGTGTTTGTGTGTTTGTGTGTCTGTGTGTCTGTGTGTTTGTGTGTTTGTGTCTGTGTGTCTGTGTGTCTTTGTGTGTCTGTATGTCTGTGTGTTTGTGTGTGTTTGTGTGTCTGTGTGTCTGTGTGTTTGTGTGTTTGTGTGTCTGTGTGTCTGTGTGTTTGTGTGTCTGTGTGTTTGTGTGTCTGTGTGTCTGTGTGTCTGTGTGTTTGTGTGTCTGTGTGTCTGTGTGTCTGTGTGTCTGTGTGTCTGTGTGTTTGTGTGTCTGTGTGTCTGTGTGTTTGTGTGTCTGTGTGTCTGTGTGTTTGTGTCTGTGTGTTTGTGTGTCTGTGTGTCTGTGTGTCTGTGTGTCTGTGTGTTTGTGTGTGTTTGTGTGTTTGTGTGTCTGTGTGTTTGTGCGTTTGTGTGCTGCGCAGCTGTACTCCCGCCTGTCCCTGCTGCAGACCGAGGCGCGCCTATCCCTGCGGTACTTGACGATGGCGGTGGAGAGGGCCGCTCGGGAACAGGTACGCGTGCCCACCGCACCTCTGATTAGCACGGCTGGCCACGTGTGGTGCGAAACAAGTTCGGCGTACACGCGCGCGCGTACGCGCCCGGCGCCGCAAAACATCCCCCGCCGTGCTGTTGCCGTCACGGCCAGGATGAGAATTGAATGAAGTTCAACAGAGGTCATCCAGTTGGAACCTCGCGGTTGCGCTACCTTAGGTCACGTTGTCAGCGGAAACGGTGTCGCCGCGGACCCCGAGCGGACGACTTGCGCACGGGAATTGCCTGCTGCACCCCCTGCTGCGGCCGCTGAGGTGCGGCTTTTCGCAGGGTTCGCCTCCTGTTACTCGGGGCTCTCCTGATCGTGACTCGGGTCCCGCGGTGCTCACGCGGTGCTCTTGACTATCATAGCGCCACGCAACCGCCATGGCACTAGATTGGTGGGGCACGCCTTGCTGACGGCACTCAAATAAGTCGAAACCGGCCTGTGGTTCGCGTTAAGGTCGCCGCACATTGCTGCTGCGAGACTTGGTTTCTTGCAGTTCGGTGGTTTTAAACAGAATAATTTATTAATTTATTCGTTTTTGAAACAGAACCTTTAAAGATTATTTATTTCCAAGCAAACCTCAGTCTACTGGGATGTGGTGATACTTGTCCTGGTTTTCCCAGGATCCTCACCTTTTTTAAGTCGCTGTACTGCGACATTTCTAGGTCTTCTCTGGGTCACTAAAAGTTAAATTTTATGCCAGTAGCATACTAATCCACCCCTCAAGACAACGCGCTGATAGGCAGTTCTCCCCTATTCTAGTATCGTGAGATATACTCCTCTTCCCCATGGTATCTTCAGGGCTGGAAATGGTAATGAATTACTGCGGGAACTCATTCATGATTTCCGCAGAGATTTGGACCGTACACTAGACCTGAGGAAGAGGAGGAGCTTCGCTCCGTGTGCGGGTCTCTGAGCGCATCTGTGGGTCTCTCTGTTTGCCTAGCGGTCTAGAGTAAAATAAATGAAAAAAATATTAATCCTTGATTTTTCCCGGAACGCAGTTACGAGGTTCAAATTGTCACTCTACACCACGGCATACCAGGGAATTCCGGCCCAGTTCCACCACTGGGTGTGTCCCAATTTTCTTTGTCATCCCGAAGGTGGCAAAGCCACTTAAGTGCTGGTGATGTCACCGTCTCGCCGCGCCAAGAGGTGCCTCGTGAATAGCTCAGAGCACCGTGGTTGCCACGCGCTGTCCACATTAATGACTGCACGTGTGTCTCCCGGACACACGTGCAGTCATTCAGTGACTTCCAGGCTGTCTGTCCTTGTCTAAGAAGCCGTTCTTTGCATCACAAATGTAATTCGCAATGCAGGTTCCTTGTGCCGTGACCATAGCAGACCCAGCACTGTCGCCTGCTGATCCACGCCATAGCAGTCGCCACACACCGGGGAACAACACCGGCCGTTGCCTTAAGAAGGCTTTGTGCGCGCGAAGGAATTCGAGTCACGAGTTCCCTGCATTCCAGAGGGGTTGCTGCTGCTGCTCTCTGCCACGCGTGGAGCTCACGTTTAGTCAGCCGTGAGGCCGGGCGTTCATTGTCAGCACACCGCTGTGATGCCCTGGTTACAAAGCTGAAACATCTCCACGTGTGTGGGTGTGGGGAGTGGTGGCGCAGCGGTTAGCGCCGTCGCGCTACGAACCCGGCGACCCGAGGTCGATGCCCGCTCGCGGCCACCACCACCACCGGTGACGATTATCGGAACTGGTCCTGGGCCTCCCCTAGGTCGACTCGGCCTCAAACGAGTACCTGGTGCAGTGTGTAAAAAGATCGCTACTTGGGAGACAAAGGCGACGGGGCGTGGTTGCTGGCCACGCACCCCTTGTGTGTCATGCCGGCCTTCATAGGTGCTCGAAAACAGCACTTGCCCCAAGAGTCTGTTAAGGCTACGCGGGGGATCTTGGTCTGTGTACCGTTGTGGGGAGTGGTGGCGCGGTGGTTCGCGCACTACACTACGCACCTAGCGACCCGAGTTCGATTTCCGCTCATGGTCAACAGCAGCGACGATTATCTGAACCGGTCTTGGAGCTCCCCTAGGTCGATTCAGCCCGCAATGAGTACCTGATGTAATGTGTGAACATCGCCATTGGGGGAGACAAAGACGGCCGGACGTGGTGCTGCCCACCAACCCCCTCGTGTGCCGTGCCGGCCTTTGTAGGTGCTCGCGAACAGCACTTGCCCCAACAGTCTGATAAAGCTACACGGGGGGGTCTTCGTCTTCGTACCGTTGTCTATCTCTGCGTGTGTAACGGTACGACTACAGTTTGGCTCAAAACAGTTGCCACCGGCCCACCGGCAAATCTTGCCAACACAGGGTGGTGTTGGTGATGCCACCACGGAGCCTGGCTGGAGGCGGGGGGGGCACAGCGAGGGCACACGCGCAGTGGAGCCACCGCTGCTGTCAACTTAAGCTTCGGGCACAGCTAACATTATATCCTCGCAGCACGAGGAGAGATGATTTATAGCTATAAACTAAACAAACTTTTTTTTTTAACCAGGTAAGGCCCACTGAGCTATATAGTTCTTTTCTAGAAGTGGCTTATAATTATCAGGTGGAAATGTAGAGCAGCCAAATTACTCCAAATGCGTGACGTCCATTCTAAATGTGGAGAGAAAACCGGAGGACCCGGAGAAAAATCCACGTGACCACGGGGAGAGAGACGCGCAAACTCCAAATATACAGCAGGCATCTGGATTGGGATCGGAACCACGACCTCCTGCATACCAGGCGAGGTAGTTAACGTCTCACCACCGTAACCAAGCTGAGACTACGCCTCCTTCACCAGGCCATCCACTTAACAAAACAAATTGTACCCATCCCATCAGCCACACGGCCCCTTCTGGGGGTAAACAATTTCAGCAGCATTGTTTTCAAGTACAAGCAAACTATGGAGTGGTTTTGACACGCAGTGTCTCATCAGCAGGACGATGTTAATGATTATTTTCAGGTACTCTGCACAATACAAATTGTATGTCTAATTAGGACCCCCCATCGGGGTAGAGAGAGGGCCCTTGCCTGTAAGATTGGCATGTTGAAACCGGTTCAGAGTGTCTGCTTGTCTTGAATCAGTGATGTGGTAAAAAAACAAAACTTTTTTTACGTGAAGGGAGACGGAGATATGAAAGATACATATTGTCGACCAATTTATCTCGTTTACATGATCGTTATCGCCACGTCAGTTAAACACTCGCTGTTGACGATGGAATTTGAATTAATTGCGTCCTGCATTCCAGAGGGCTGACTCAACGTAGGGTCCACATTGAGTCAGCCTGTGAGTTGCTTCGTAGAGAGAGGGCCCTTGCCTGTAAGATTGGCATGTTGAAACCGGTTCAGAGTGTCTGCTTGTCTTGAATCAGTGATGTGGTAAAAAAACAAAACTTTTTTTACGTGAAGGGAGACGGAGATATGAAAGATACATATTGTCGACCAATTTATCTCGTTTACATGATCGTTATCGCCACGTCAGTTAAACACTCGCTGTTGACGATGGAATTTGAATTAATTGCGTCCTGCATTCCAGAGGGCTGACTCAACGTAGGGTCCACATTGAGTCAGCCTGTGAGTTGCTTCGTCATCGATCTCGCACTGCCTCGACCCCTTGTTAGATGGACATGGGGCGTGCAGTGTAAGGTGGCTTGTGACAGCAGCTGGCGAGTCACGCCTGGATGTTGTTGCAGGCAGCCGAAGTCTCGTGAATCTGGTGGCGGTAGCGTGTTCACCGCTCGCTGCAGAGCTTCACGGTTTTGGTTATTACCGCGGTGTGTCACGACCCTGACAACTTAATCTCGATTTCAAGCGTTCGTGATTGCCGGCATCCATGCTTTTTGGTTCTTTCGGTAAAGCCACGTGGGTAGAAAAAATAATAGATCACGACGTTTCGATCGCAACACAAGCGACCGTCTTACTTGCTACGCGCCGACTACGTTACAGTGGACGGTAAAGATCCCGTGACGTCCTTCATGAGAGTCGCCCATTGTGTGCCCTGGCCTTAGTTAGGGTCCAAGTTTGCGAAAAATAAAATCGAAGGATTCCACCGCAAAGATTCCTCATTTTAATTTTGCACAGCAAATCGTCGCCACCCTGCTGTGTGAAGGCTTGGCAGGACCCTGCTGATGAAGAGTCTTGAGAACTCTGTGAGGCTTTCTTGGATGAACTGGGAAAATTGAGCTCATTGTTTTGGCCGCACACATCCAATACTCAGATTGAAGTTCTCCAGAAGTGAAGTTGAATGATTTAGATTCGTCATATCTCTGCCTCCACTTATCTTCAGTGGCAATGGCCCTGTCTAGGGGCCCTCTGCCCTTGGTGGTCGTGATGTTGATCTTGGTGTCATCTCTGGGAGTCCTGCTCTTGTGCACACAAAGGCGGCCGGGCGTGGTGCTGGCCAGCCACCCTGCTCGTGTGCCGTGCCGGCCTTCATAGGTGCTCGCTAACAGCCCTAACAGTCTGTTAAGGCTACACGGGGGGATCTTTGTCTTTGTGCGTGAGCGTGCAGGTGTGCGGGGCGGCAGGCAGGGTGCTGGAGTCCGTGAGCAACATGCTCGTCTGCGAGGGGATGCCCAGCAACAGGTGAGCCGCGGTGACAGCAGAGTAATCCGGAAGGACGCGCGTCCAACAGGAACCGGGACCAGACCCCCCGCGTGCGCTTCGGGGGAGAGGGGGCTGCAAACCGCCTGCGTTTTTGCAGTCGGAGCCGTGAATCCTTGCGGCACAGAACAAAGGCGGTTGGTTGTGCGGGCCGGTAAGCTTTGCAGCTCGGGGTGGAGCAGCGGTGCAGTTGTTGTTGTCACGCTGCACCTTGAGACCCGGGAACAAAAGTTAATTTCCTACGCCGTGGCTAACATCAGTGGCGAGTGATGTCTGATTATATGAAACAGAACTGGGCCCTCCCCCCCCTTCACCAACCCACACTGACGAATGTAGTGAAGTATAGCCAAACGACCCTGAAGGTGACGTGGCGAGGGGGAGGTGTTTCCTCCCAGCAAATACGTACATTCACAGGCAAGGATTTCTCTCGCCGCATGGAAACTCCGTCGGCCTGTGAGCTGCCAATCTTTTTTCCAGCAGCAGCATTTATTTAAGCAGCAAATCTCTGGACTCGTTTTGACTTCAGCAGGGTGCAGCCTGGTAAACACGCCGGGTTCATAGACGGAGCGCGCTAGCCGCTTCACTGCCGCTCCCCACTGAAGGCGGAGAGCATAGTCTGGATACTCAGAAGTAGAGTACAACAGTGCAATTTTTGAACCTCCTACCGAGTAAACGTGGAAAATGAGGCCAACGTTGGGTCAAGGTTGGTCCAAACGGTGCCAAACCGCATGCGAATGTTGGCCCAACGTTCGCAGTTTTACTGCGTGTCACATCATGGCCCTCGAGTCCTGCAGACAACCGTCGTATTTGTGGATGGCGGTCGCCGATCTTTAAACTCAATCCAGGCTCCGGCCTACTTATAGCTTCTGAGCTCTTAACGGGAGCGGGCGCGTTCCAGAGCCTGTTTGCGGCAGTGTGCACTCTGTGCGCACGCACGTACTCTCATTGCACTTTAGAGACGACACGTCTGCGGCTTTATTTATGAGCAGCAGGAGACAGAATTAAAAAGAAAAGACCTTTAAAGTTACGGACGAGTGCTTCCTTCGGGTTCGTTCGTAACATCACGGCACTTCCACCTGTTCCATTAAGCCACAGCGAGGTGACTAACCCAGTGAACATGCCAACGTTGGCCCGACGTTGGCATGTTTACTGGGTAGCGTGCTCGAGAGATGGCTCACTGCCACCAGGTCGAGTTTTTCCCATCGTGAGCGGAGGCTTCGATCCCCGCGGCGTTGCACACTCGAGGCCGTGCATCCTGGGTGCGTGGTTTACAATTTAAAGAGCTGTTTGTTTTGGGGCCATAATCTTGTTATGGCCCAGACCCCTCTAGTGCAGCCGTGAACACAACCCAGCCTGGATCATAATGTCTGTGTTCCCCATGGCAACGAGTCCAAGGCCATCGGAGTGTAGGAGAGGTTGGTTGGTGGGGGAGGGTGGTCTGTGTGCTCTGTGTGTCAGGTGGGATGGGGGGAACCGGGCAGTGCCAGATGATCCCAGTAGCAAAAGTAGCTACATAGGCTATAGGCCCGGAACTTTTCAAGGGCCCTGCGCTAAATGCTTTCAAGCTATCAATTCCGGTTCAGTGATTCTGCACTTACTCTATTACTATAGTACTAGCGGTTTGTCGTGTTATCTGACTGCCTAGCAAATTAATAAATACAATGACTTTGCTATGCAAGTAAAAAAATGTGTGTTTTAATATTTGCGTTTTTTTTATATATATATAGGGCCCCTTTATAACATACTAGCGGGAAGTACCCGGCGTTGCCCGGGCGAAAAAGACACACACACATCGACTTAAACACACACAGACATCGACCCACACACACACATTGACTTACACACACGCACATCGACTTACACACACAACCAAATTGACTCTCACACAAACACATTGACTGACACACACAAACATGGGCTCACACACACGTACATCGACCCACACACATACATCGACCTGCACACACACACAGACACAGCGACCTACACACACATGTGGACTTACACACACATGTGGACTTACACACACACATCAACTTACACACACAAATACATCGACACACACACACATCGACTTGCACACACACACATTGACTTGCACACACACAGCGACACACACACAGACACAGTGACTTACACACAAACACAGACACAGCGACTTACACACACACACATCGACTTACACACACATGTGGACTTACACACACATCGATTTACACACACAAATACATCGACACACACACAAATACATCGACACACACACACAAATACATCGACACACACACGGACTCACACACACACATACAACGCACACACATATATAGACTCGCACGCACACATCGATGTACACCCACACACTATTACTTTTATATTTACTAACTACGTGTTTAAATAATAGTTTTCTATCTATGCGACTTAGCGAAAGAATAATAAGTAAGGTAATTAAGAGCGACGACAAGGGTCTTCCGTCGTTTTAGTGCAAACATTTGCTGCGAGCAAAAGCGGCAAATGAATGAAAGTCAAGGAATAATAAATCGACCTATCTTACCTGTGACTATGACCAGATGCGCACCAATCAAGCGTAATTGACGTAACGCCACTGCTCAACCCTGCTACTGAGGGGGCAAGTGTAAATATGTGAGAATGAAGACGTAATAGCAATGAGTGCATTTATTGGTTTGCCCCCTGTGCAGTAAATGATTCTTACGTGGCTGCTGATGCCTCGAGAGTACAGAAGGAGGCTCTGCTTCCCTTCAAACTTGTTTTTTTTTGTGAGCAGGATGGTGATATTTCGAAATGCACCTATTTTTGAAGAGAAAACGTGTGCATAAGTGTCATTCCCTCGCGTAAAGACGTGCTCGCTAAAGCAATGTTTGTGGGGAATAATAGCCATTTTGTATATAACAATTTAAAAGTCTGCACTTAGTACTCGGGGAGAAAAATCGTGTTACTTAGGGTAACTATCATCAAACAATGGTTAATCCCTGTCATTAAATATTTCATAACAGGAATAGTAATGATTCATGGTAATACTCTTTGGTTCTTTCCGTGAAGTCACGTAGGTATAAAATGAAATAAATCACGACGTTTCGGGCGCAACCCAAGCGTCCGTCATCAGGTCGTGATTTATTTTCTACCCACGTGACTTTGCCGAAAGAACCAAAGAGTATGGATTCCTGCAGTCACGAAATCTTCAAATCTAGATAGTCATGGTAATAAATGTTTGAGGGGAGCTGTAAATCTGTGTGTTACCTTGCACAGAGTTCTCAGACTCCTCAGAGAGTTCCCACAGAGTTCTCGGACCTCTCACAGAGTTTCCACAGAGTTCTCAGACTTCTCACAGAGTTCTCACAGAGTTCCCAGACTTCTCACGGAGTTCTTAGACTTCTCACAGAGTTCCCAGACCTCTCGTAGAGTTCGCAGACTTCTCACAGAGCCCTCACGGACTCTAGCATGCGGAACGGCCGTGTCGGTGCTCGTGAACTTCTTACCGGCCGCTACAAGAGACACACAGAGGGATTCGGTTATGCTTATGCTGCCGATGCCACTGCGTTACCAGTGGTGCACCAGCGCATGAAGAGGCACCTGTGCCGTGGAGAAGGGCCATTGCGCGCCCGGAACGTTGCCCTGTTTATTTAAAAATGTTCCTTTCTAAGGCCACGCCTTGTTATTGACGAATGGGTTTCAGCTGTTGGTTCCTAGTTGTTTTACAAAACTACAGTTAGGAGCCGGGGGCTGTCCAGGCTACATTCCTTGCACACCTCTGTGGGCGCTGCGGTTAAAGGGAGGACAGGGGAGGGGGGTGCCGCTCGTTCCACCGGAGTTGGTTTGTCCCCGCAGACACGGGGGGACACGCCCACTCTGCTCCCCAACACCACAGTCCACAGAACAATTCATTACGTGGCGAAACTGTGCCGGCGGTGGCGCATAAGCAGCACAACAAAAACAAAACGCACCGCATTCGTCACGAACACTCTGTGCGGCCTTGATGGGAAAAATCTGTAACGATCACTGGGACGCCACGATGGCTAGGAGATGTTAACTACCTCGCCAGGTATACAGGAGGTCGTGGGTTCGATCTCGACCCTGATGCCTGTTGTATACTTTGGAATTTGCGTGTCTCTCTTCCCGTGGTCGCGTGGATTTTTCTCCGGGTCCTCCGCTGTTCCCCTCCACATTTAGAATCAACGTCACCACGCGTTTAGAGTGTTTGGCTGTTATACATATCCACGTGATAAGCCACTTAGTGCGAGCTCCCATTTGTGGCCACGTCGCTTCTGAAAAACATCCACGTAGCTCAATGTGTCTTACCTGGTAAAATACAAAACATCGTTTAGTTTTAGTTTCCGATATGAACAGGCAACGTCTCAGGCAACGGACCTTTTTTCATAGCGCTTAACCTCACGTCCACTCTGCCTCTGTGGCCTGTCTACGTGCTGTGAAGAAGGAGGGCCATTACCCAAAGCGTCGCCCGTTTTTTTTATCTTTAAGGCGACAGTTTTTTTGGCAAATGTCCTCAAGACCTGAAACCCTTAGTTAGCACCTTAAGCATCGGAACTTTCGTCGTACAGATTTATTTACACGGCCAATTAGCGTGAATTACTCAATGGCCCCACTCATATGAAATGGCCATCACATGATTCCCTGTTTTGTGGGCATCTCAAGGCATTGGAGCCACTATAGCTACGCCACCTGGGGTGGTAGCAACAGAGCGAGATATCTGGGACGCGACTCGGACTACTCGCACTCTTTGTCTCTGTTATCTTCATTCCAAAGGGCAGGGGTCATCCGTGCCACTCGGCACGTCGCGGGGAAGCGTGTGTGACACGACCAGCCGTAGTGCAGCGGTGAGCGCGCCGCGCTACGAACCCAGCCACCCGGTTTCGATTCCCGTTCGCGGACAACACCGGCGACGGATGCCTGAATCGGTCTTGGGCCTCCCCTAGGTCAATGATGAGTACCTCGTGCATGGTGTACGAGGTGCTCATTTGCTGGCCTCCCACCTTCTCGTGTGCTGTTCCAGCCTTCATAGGTGCTCGCTAATAACACTTGCTCCTACAGTCCGTTAAGGCTACACAGGGGATCTTTGGCTTTGGCTCTACCTTCATCAATCCAAAGTCTACTCAAATAACCGTCATGACCCACGGTGGTGGGGAGTAGGGCTGCCACCTCTTGCACAGGAGTCCAATCCGGGATCAATTTCCCCGTCGCCACTCGGTCCGTTATCAAAACAGTGCAGTATCCTGCAATAACGTTCACAGCAGCAATAGCGGAACCAGGTTTGAGTAAAATTCTATTCCAGTCACCAGAACAGCAGACACCAATTTCCCGGACTGTCCGGGTCTATCCAAAGTGGTCAAACCCGGACAGGTGGCAATGCGAGTGGGGTGGCCTTCATCCAGCAGTGGATTGAGAAAGGCTAGGTATCAGAGGCAGTGGCCCTGGAGTTGTCGACATCTGCGCTCTCGCTGGAAGCAGGCGGCATCAGAAGAGTCTGTCCGGTCCTGGGACTAAACAATTCCCACAAAATCATCTCTCCTCGTGCTGCGAGGATATAACGTCGGCCCTGTGCCAGCAGCTTGAGTTGACAGCAGCGGTGGTGCCCACTACGCGTGTGCCCTCGCTGCGGCCCCCCCCACCCCGGCCAGCCTGGGCCAGGCACCGTGGTGCCACCACCACCACTGATGGGTGAGCGTTGGCGGATTTGGCCGTGGGGCAAGATTTTGCCGGTGGGCCGGGGCAACTGTTTTGAGCCAAACTGTAGTCGTACCGTTACACACGCAGAGATAGACAACGGTACGAAGACGAAGACCCCCCCGTGTAGCCTTAACAGACTGTTGGGGCAAGTGCTGTTCGCGAGCACCTACGAAGGCCGGCACGGCACACGAGGGGGTTGGTGGGCAGCACCACGTCCGGCCGTCTTTGTCTCCCCCATTGGCGATGTTCGCACATTACATCAGGTACTCATTGCGGGCTGAGTCGACTTAGGGGATCTCCAAGACCGGTTCAGATAATCGTCGCTCGTGTTGGCCGTGAGTGGAAATCGAACTCGGGTCGCTGGGTTGACAGTGCAGTGCGCGAACCACCGCGCCACCGCTCCCCACAATGGTACAGAGACCAAGACCCCCCGTTTGTAGCTTTAACAGACTGTTGGGGCAAGTGCTGTTCGCGGGTATCACCAATGAAGGCCGGCACGGCACGCGAGAGGGTGGGTGGCCAGCACCAAGCCCGTCTGCCTTTGTGATCCCCAGTGAGAGACACGGAGGCACATATGTAGAGACACAGATATACAGAGAGAGACACACATCCACACAGAGGTGCATAGCAGACACAGACATACATAGAGCAGAGACAAAGAGATTAGGGCTCTTAAGTGGTTATTGTAAACTATCATTTTGCCCGTCGAAGGACGGGTGTATTGCAGTAAATCTGAAACTTGCAAGCGAAAAGCACAGACCACGACGTGATGTTCATTACATCACTTCGTGTGCAATTTGTAAGGGCGCGGTGACACAGACTTACTTCATTTTAAGGTTATAATCCCTTGTTCATCACGACGTCCTTTTTACTTCTATGTCTCAACAGCGTTACGGAGATCACGTGACGTGAGGGCTCTGCCTTTGTAGTGAGGGTTGCTGAGAAGGGGGGGGGGGGCCCTTCGCCCCCAATATGGAGTGACGTCACCCACCTTCCAGCGTTCAAATCATTGACTAAAACTCACCTTTTAAAAATTGCTTTTAATGTTTAGCTAAGTTTGATGTGCTTTTAGTGTTTTCACCATTTGATGTTGTTTTTGCTGCTTTTATGATTTTATGGAAAGTGTCTTTGATTATTCAGAAGAGCGCTCACGAATAAAATGTATTATTATTAATTATTAGTGGTGGGTTCACACTGTGTTTCTCTCCGTTTGATGTTGAGTGACGTCACCTGCTCATGGTCACTGTTACATTGCATTTATGGCTTTATTTTGGTGATTTCGAAAACGTGTTTTGGTTTGGCCATGTTTTTGTTTATTGTAGTACGGAGTTAGACTGATGGCCTTCATCTTAGTTGTCTTGTGGTTGTTGTTGTTGTTTGACTTGCATCCCACTGGGATTTTTGCACACAGCGTTGGTGTACGGTGCTATTTCAGGAATATTTTGATCTTTTTTTTCCCCTGGATTTTCTGTTTGCACAGTCACATAATCACTTGAAGATGTTTTCTTGTTCATGTTTTTGTTTGTTGCGGTTGCACCCGATTCAAGAGCCGAATGGCTCACAGGGCAATACCAAATAAATGGAACTATGAAATGGAAGTGGATGGTTATTAATGAGGGGGGGGGGGGCTCTCCATGCGGAGTGACGTCACCCGCTCATGATTATTAATGAGGGGGAGCGGTCCATGTGGAGGACGTAACTTGTTCATGATTATTAATAAGGGGGGCTGGTCGACGTGGAGTGACGTCACGCGCGGGACACAGACATTCTTGGCTCATTGCAGTGGTACATGATTAACCGGCTTAGGACCGAATTATGGTTTCCAAAGTTGTGCATTTGATAATATAATCTGGTACAAATTTCATAAAGAATTAGTGGAGGATCCATGGGGTTTATGACTGTGAAGTGTGCAGGAGAGTGGTGTGTTCACGCTGTGTCTGTCACGGTGAAGTGTGCAGGAGAGTGGTGTGTTCACGCTGTGTCTGTCACTGTGCAGTGTGCAGGAGAGTGGTGTGTTCACGCTGTGTCACTGTGAAGTGTGCAGGAGAGTGGTGTGTTCACGCTGTGTGTGTCACTGTGAAGTGTGCAGGAGAGTGGTGTGTTCACGCTGTGTCTGTTACTGTGAAGTGTGCAGGAGAGTGGTGTGTTCACGCTGTGTCTGTCACTGTGCAGTGTGCAGGAGAGTGGTGTGTTCACGCTGTGTCACTGTGAAGTGTGCAGGAGAGTGGTGTGTTCACGCTGTGTGTGTCACTGTGAAGTGTGCAGGAGAGTGGTGTGTTCACGCTGTGTCTGTCACGGTGAAGTGTGCAGGAGAGTGGTGTGTTCACGCTGTGTGTGTCACTGTGAAGTGTGCAGGAGAGTGGTGTGTTCACGCTGTGTGTGTCACCGTGAAGTGTGCAGGAGAGTGGTGTGTTCACGCTGTGTGTGTCACTGTGAAGTGTGCAGGAGTGTGGTGTGTTCACGCTGTGTGTGTCACCGTGAAGTGTGCAGGAGAGTGGTGTGTTCACGCTGTGTGTGTCACTGTGAAGTGTGCAGGAGAGTGGTGTGTTCACGCTGTGTGTGTCACCGTGAAGTGTGCAGGAGAGTGGTGTGTTCACGCTGTGTCTGTCACTGTGCAGTGTGCAGGAGAGTGGTGTGTTCACGCTGTGTCTGTCACTGTGAAGTGTGCAGGAGAGTGGTGTGTTCACGCTGTGTCTGTTACTGTGAAGGGTGTAGGAGAGTGGTGTGTTCACGCTGTGTGTGTCACTGTGAAGTGTGCAGGAGAGTGGTGTGTTCACGCTGTGTGTGTCTCTGTGAAGTGTGCAGGATAGTGGTGTGTTCACGCTGTGTGTGTCACTGTGAAGTGTGCAGGAGAGTGGTGTGTTCACGCTGTGTCTGTCACTGTGAAGTGTGCAGGAGAGTGGTGTGTTCACGCTGTGTCTGTTACTGTGAAGTGTGCAGGAGAGTGGTGTGTTCACGCTGTATGTGTCACCTTGAAGGGTGCAGGAGAGTGGTGTGTTCACGCTGTGTCACTGTGAAGTGTGCAGGAGAGTGGTGTGTTCACGCTGTGTCTGTTACTGTGAAGTGTGCAGGAGAGTGGTGTGTTCACGCTGTGTGTGTCACTGTGAAGTGTGCAGGAGACTGGGTAGTTCACGCTGTGTGTGTCTCCGTGAAGTGTGCAGGAGGCCGCGGTGTGTTCTGCGCTCGCCCGTCTCCTGCACTGGGCCGACCAGCACGCCCTGACGAGCCGAGCCTTCCCGAGCGTCGACACGGCCTTGCAGCAGCTCGCCACCGATCTCAACGCCGCCACGCAGGTGACCGCCACGCCGGGCCTCCACCGCCTCGCCGGACCTCGGCCCCAGTGAGATGGGGCCCCATCTCACTCCGGGCCGGTCGCGTAGCTTTTGACAGCGCAGGTGGTGCAACTGCACCCAGGTCCCACTGGCCGTGGGGCTGTGGCGGGGGAGGGCACCGATGCCGGGCTCCAGCTAGAAGGGGGTGAGGTTGGACAGGGGGCCACATTTCCATTCTCGCACCATGGCCCAAATTGGCTCACGCACGCTCGGCTCCCGCCGCACCGGGACCAACGTTAGTTTCAACCTCGCTCGGCCGCAATTCGTCTTTTGAGGTTGGTCTTGCGTGTGTGGCATTGCAACAACCTGGACCGGCTTGCAGGCACACGTGACGGGTTGCGATGGTTACCCACTTCCAAGCCTGATTGAAATCGGGCTTTCACGCCGCACGCGAGTTTTACGGCATCACCTCCGTCCTGGATGACTGCGTGAAGAAATATGCCGAGCTACAGACAGTAACGGAACAAATATTTAGTGATGCTGCTGCTGCCAGTGGTGCACGACCAACAAAGGCAAACCCAACACACTCGTCAACAACACTGCAGCCTTAAGAGGTGAAGTAGCAACGATCCCTTCCTCCCGCACCTCCGATTAACACGGTTGGCTACGTACGGTGCGAAAGAAGTCCAACATGCATTCTAGTTGAGTGTTAGTTGGTTGATCGAGTGAGCTCATGAGTATTTCGGGGATTAGCACTGTGAAGAATCAGTGATAAAGGTGACTGCAGACATTGTTGGTGTTACATTTCTGTCACGAAAGATGAATTGATCCTATCTAAATGGCTCCTGTTGTTTTACTGTCATTATGAATTTAGTTTAGTCTTCTTTTTTCGCCTTTCATACGGCCGCTGATGTCGATGCAGAGCTACAACTACAATTTCACATTCAGCTGCTCAAGCCCAGATAACCGCGTCGGGAGCAGCGGAGTGTACCATTGCTTTCATGTCTCCTTCGTGTTTGCGGATCGGGCATTGCGTTGTTATGCGTTGCACAGTTTTTTCAGGATGGCCACATTCGCACACTACTGGGGGTTTTTAATTTTCGATTTGTCCAACGGGTATCTGCATCTGCCATGGTTTGTGCGGATGCGGTTTAGGGCGGGCCATGAGCTTCGTTAAGTGTTCCATTAGCCCTCTGGGCGTGTGCGTGTAATAGGCGACGTTTCAGGCAATGCCCCTTCTCCATAACACACGGCACTTTCAGACATATGACTGTTGAACTTCTTTCTCACCGTACGTAGCCAACCGTGCTAATGGGAGGGTGGTTTGGGCCTCATGGGGCTAGAGAATGAGCTCTGGCAACGGTACGAGCGATGCTCACAGGACGAGCGACCACTCCGTTGCACCGGTGCTGGCTCCACGGTGGTGTCGTCGTCACGTGACGGCTGTTAGACGTCCACTAGGGTGAAGGCGATATTTGGTCAACATTCCTTTCAAGGTTATGTTGCAGCAGTGGTCCATCGGTTGGTGATATTAATTGGCTTCACGAAAACTGTCGTTAATTGAAATTATCGTTAATTGAATGGCGTAAATACAAGTTAAATGCTTAATTTGTTCCAAGATGATCAGAAGTTGACCTTTTTTTTTACTATAAGACATGATGTATAATATTTAAACACGCAATTTTAATAAATAAGAACATATTAAAGTATTCACATTAATCGAAACATGGATAAATAATGAATAAATAGAATATAAAAATGTGCATAAACAGAGCATAATTAAAAAAATTATCGCATTCATTTTAGGGGCCATTGCCATTGATCTCGTTAAAGTAAAAAAACACTAAGCATTCAAGAGAGCTGTTTCCATGAGCAACGCAACTTCAAACATTGAAAAGCTAGCAGCCAGTTGCTCTCAAAACACTTCTAAAAGGACGTCGCCACTGATTGGCTGAGGCCTGCTGCTGAGGCCTGCTGCTGAGGCCTGCTGCTGAGTCCGTTTAGTACTCCGATTGGCCAAAATTGGCAGCTGCGTGATATCGTAAGCATATCGTCAATCGAATATGTATTGTTAAAATAAACAATGGGATCCTATGAGAGGCGGATCATTAATCGGAACATCGTTCATTGATGGCATCGTAAACCACGGGACCACTATTTTAATTTTATTTTATTTTTTCCATCTCATTTGCGCCGCTTGTATTATTTGCGCTTTTTCATCACGTCCGTCTAAAGCCACATTGTGAATAAACCGCTAATAACCGATGCTTGTAGGCGCACGGTGCATGGCGTGCACTGTGACAGTGATGACCAATTTGTTCATCGAAGAATCGCCACCGGCTTGTGACGTTTCTCTGCCCCTGTCTTGCGCTCAGGAGCTCATCGATTGGCTGGCCACTGAGCCAGGGCGGCAGATTGGTCGATCCAACGATGACATCACAGCCCCGCCCAAGCCGCCCCGTCCTCCTGGCCTCACCTTCCTCAACACCTACAGGTCGCGCGGCAGGAATTTGCGATTTGTCTAAAGGATGAGATAACGAAAACCACAGACACGGTCGCATAATGACAGTACTCGCTACGAGGCAACGTTTATAAACAGCTGGAGGAAATAATAATAATTAAACAACACATCTGCGTTAACTTCCTATGCTGCTGTGCTTTGCATCATGGGAAGCACATGACTATAGGCAGAAAGTGATGCATGTCTCCTGTGTAAAACGCTGATGTCTGTGACATCAGCTTAACGGCACGTTGAGATTACTTGACGTATCTTTCAGTTACAAGGCAGGCAACGTGAGTTACAGATGATGGTGGTAAAGTATTGTTCTTCTGTTCCGAAATTGCGTGGCAAGTCACAGCTGCGGGGCAGCCCATAGAATTCACCTCCTTCGGTATTGTACATGAAAGATGATGGGCTTCAAATGGATTGGACGATTACAAAGTGAGCAAACTACTGATTTTATTTTACCAGGTAAGACGCACCGAGCTATACGGCTCTTTTTCAGAAGTGGCCTGGCCACAAATGATACATCTTCTTTGGTTCTTTCGGTAAAGTCACGTAGAATGATAATAAAATAATTAATTGATAAAATAAAATAACACAATAATATTTTCACGACGTTTCGGCCACAACACAAGCGGCCTTCATCAGGTGAAGGGGGCGAGACTGTCTGGTAGGACAGCGCTGGAGTGAAAGAGCCACGTTCAGATACGGCCTTTAAGCTGTGTGAGAGGAACAAAGCGCCTTGACAAAGGAATTAGCATATAATTTAGCATTGAAATGGCTGAATGATTAGCTTGTGACTGGTCACAGAAATAGCTATGTTAAAAGTTAAAGCATACACACCCGCAGAGGCACCCATTGTTAAAGGAACAATCATTGCAGTCACGAAAGCTTTAAACCACAAATGATAGTCCGATAAAGTGGCTTATCATGCGGACAGTTATATCAGCCAAATGCATGTTTCTAAATATGGAGGGAAAAACCGGAGGACCCGGAGAAGAAGCCACGCAACCACAGGGACAACATGCGCACTCCAAATATACATCCCACCACCTCCTTCGTACCGGGTACTCTAGGGCACCAGTGCCCTGTGGATGCCTTGGGATGCGCTGGTGCTCCTTGACTGCCCATGGGGCTCGTTGTCGTTGTTGGTGGTGTTGGCCTGGGCCCCGGTTGCTTCGTCTTGGGCTGTGTCACGGTGCAGCAGTGTCGCGGTACGGGTTTTGTGGCTGTGCGGGCTGCGTCGTGGTGCGGGCTGCGTGGTGGTGCGGGTTGCGTGGTGGTACGGGCTGAATGGTGGTACGGGCTGCGTGGTGGTGTTGGTTGCGTGGTGGTACGGGCTGCGTGGTGGTGCGGGCTGAGTGGTGGTGCGGTTTGCGTGGTGGTACGGGCTGCATGGTGGTACGGGCTGCGTGGTGGTGCGGGCTGCGTGGTGGTGCGTGCTGCATGGTGGTACGGGCTGCATGGTGGTACGGGCTGCGTGGTGGTGCGGACTGCATGGTGGTGCGGACTGCATGGTGGTGCGGACTGAGTGGCGGTGCGGGGCTGTGTTGTGGTACGGGCTGTGTTGTGGTACGGGCTGTGTTGTGTTACGGGCTGTGTTGTGGTACGGGCTGTGTTGTGGTACGGGCTGTGTGGCGCTGTTGCTCTCTTTCTCTCTCTCTCCCTCGTTCCCCTGCCCGGTGCCCCCGCCCACCACAACCCTCCTGCCCTGAGATGCGTATTGAGACGCGACACAAAATAAAAACAACGTCACCGGTATTGGCCAAACATCCCAATGCTGACAAATTACAAACCGATTGCTTAATTTGGATCGCAAGCAGCAGCAGCAGCAGCAGCTCCCACCTCCTGTGAAAACTTTGCAGGACCCTCCTGAGAAAGGGTCTTCAGACTCTTGCTGAGGCTTTCACGAGTCAACGAGCGTTTTCTCGTGTAACGAACAAACGTCAAAATACGTTGCAATTGTTTTTTGTTGTGTATCTCATGTACGCCAATTGTATTTTGTGATTTTTCAGCCCCCCGATGCTCCCGGCAAAGTCCTGGCGCACGCCCGGAGGATCGGTGAGGAACGGCGAGAACAGGGAAACCTTCCTTGGAGGTGCGCATGTGTGCGTGTGTGTGCGGGAACATATTCCCATTGGTGAGTTCGTCCGGCAGGCGAGGCTGCGTTGGCTGGGGTATGCAGCGAGCATGCCTCGCCACCGCATGCCCAAGCAGCTTCTGTTTGGCTGGATAGAGGGGGCTAAATGGGCACGACATGATCTGGAGAAGAGATGGAGCTGATGCGGCACGGGAGGATGTGGAGCCGAGTGGACTTGCCGAAAACTGGTACCAGCGGTATCAAGATCGGCCTCTGTAGAGGAGGCTCGTGATGGACGCTAATGAACAGTTGGAGGCAGTCGCCCTCCAATAACAACGGAGGGCAGAGGAGCGATGCTCCCAACAATGAGCGAAGTGCTGGGCGGCTAAAATAGCACAGTAGGGAGTACAGCTCATGCATCTACCAGTCATCTTAGTCAGCCAGCCCGTGGCACGTGGGTCTGTCCCCTTCGACACTGCACGTGGTCTGAAAGTGCACCTGGCCTGGCACAGGCACTGTGGTTACGTCACTGTCTCTTAGCAGCGACTGGCGGGTATTGGTGTGGGGAGCAGGAGTGTAGCAGTTAGTGTGCCGCACTACGAAACCAGCAACCCGAGTTTCGATTCCCGCTCATGGCAAACACCAGTGATGATTATCTGAACCGGTCGTGGGCCTCCCCTAAGTCGACTCAGCCTCAAATGAGTACCTGGTGCAGTGTGTAAACATCGTTACTGGGGAGACAAAGGCGGCCGGGCGTTGTGTTGGCCACCCAATCCCTCGTATGCCATGCTAGCCTTCGTAGATGCTTCTCGCAAACAGCACTGGCCCTAACAGGCTATACTTGGGTGCCTTTGTGTGGGAGCGGTAGTTTAGCAGTTAGCGCACCACACTTTGAAGGTAGATTCTCGCTCATGGCCAACGTCGGTGCCAAATAGCCGAACCGGTCCTGGGCCTCGTAAACATCTCTACTGAATGGGGATAAAAATGCTACTGGGCGCGGTGCTGATCATGCCAGCACCACGTTTCAGTTTTCAGTTTCATGTATGAGGTATTATCCTGTGAGCCATGCGGCTCTTGACTCGGGTGCAACCGCAACAAACACAAACATGAACAAAGGAACATCTTAAAGTGACTACGCGCAACAGAAAAATCCAGGAAAATACAACAAAGTCTTTTAGAAAAAAAACACCGTATTTCAACGCTGTGTGCAAAAATCCCAGTGGGTTGAAAGTCAAACAATAACAACCATAAGACAATTTAGATTAAGGTTATCAGGCTAACTCTGTACTGCAACAAACAAACATGGCTAAACCAAAACGTTTTCAAAATCACCAAAATAAAGCTATAAAAACAATGTAACAGTGATCATAGGAACTGTGATTCAAATTTCACAATAAACGATATACATAACATGTATGACCAAACTTTGCAGCCATAGCTGGCTGCATGAGTCACTCCATAACAGCAGGAGTATCAGTAGCAGTATCAACATTTTTCAATACACCTTTAAGATCAGCACACTATAATCAAAACTCAAGATCATACTTTGTAGCGGTCATCCGGAGCGAAACATTTGATTTCAGGCCATTCTGAATATCAGTGGCAGCTAGGGGTGTACAACTCCTCTAGAGCAGTTTTCACTGAAGATCTCACAGATAGTGATCCAAATTTCAGTTTATTGGCGATAACATTCCAGACCCTGGGGGCATCAATAGCAAAGGCCCTTCCTCCAGTATTTGTACGGCAATAAGGAATGTGAAGCTGGTAAATGAGTGAAGACCTGAGGTCAAATTTGTTCTTCGAAACAGTGAGGAGATCCAGCAGGTAGTCTGCGGATCTTTTTGTAAGTACATCGTGAATAAATAAGATCTGGTGCACAAGCCGTCGAACATTAAGAGACGTTAAGTTTGACCCAATGTAGAGATCGCAGTGGTGGGTCCTATATGGGCAGTTCAATGCAAATCTTAAGGCCGAGTGATACATTGAGTCAAGCTTCTTCAGTATAGTACTGGGGGCTGATTTATATACGATGTCACAGTAATTAAGTAGAGACAGTATGGTAGCTTTTATCAATTCCAAGCGGAACATAGGGGGGAAGCAGTGCTTGTGTCGATACAGAAAACCAATTTTGTCTTTTTTACAACATAATCAATGTGATCTTGAAAATTCAGTTTTGAATCAAAGATGACCCCAAGATACTTATAGATCTTGACTTGCTCTATCTGATGATTATTTCAGGACTATAATTGGGGAAAAATTACTTCCTGCTTTAGTCCTGGTGAGAAGCATAGCACCTTGGTTTTGGAGGTATTCAGGACGAGTTTAAGAGCAACTAGCTGATATTGTAGTTTATTGAAATCACCCTGGAGCTTAGCAATCACGTCATCTGGAGAGCGGCCAGCAGTAATCAGTATCGTGCTGGTGTGATGGGTGCTCACTAACGACACTTGCCCCAACAGTCTATGAAGGCGACCGGGGGAAACTTTGTCTTGGTGTGTACGTACGTGTGTGCTGGCGTGGGTACACGTGGATCCGTGTGTGCGCACGCAGACGTGACTTCCTTGCCGACTCCGTGTGAGCTGATGGCCTTGGACCACCAATCAATCTCCGCCGTCAACTCTGGGCACGGGACAGGAAGTGATGTCATCGGCGAAGCATCCCCGCCACCGCTGCCAGAAAAAAAAGGTGAAAGGGAAACGGAGCGGACGTGGGTTGTGTTCACACAAAGACAAAGATCCCCCGTATAGCCTGGACAGACTGTTGGGGCAAGTGTTATTAGCGAGTAGCACCTCTATGAAGGCCGGCACGGCACACACGGGGGTGGGTGACTAGCACCACGCCCGGCCGGTTCAGATAATCGAGACCGGTCTTGGCCGTGAGTGGGACTCCAACCCGAGTCGCTAACCGCTGCACCACCGCTCCCCATACACACAGACGCAGTCACTCCCCGCTTAACGTCGGGGTTGCCTTCCTGGAAAGTGCGACATTGGAAGTGAAGCAACGTTAAGCGATTTTCCCACAAGAAACAATTGTCAAATAGGGGGAGGTTATGTTCCTGGGAAATTTCCTATCGCGCTTCAGAGCACGACAAGCTTTCTCAAACTACATATTCAATAGAAAACGGAATAATAACACTGGTGATTAACTGTAGCCAACAAGTATAGAAAAGGTCAGTTGAGGTTGACGCTCACCAGTGTGTGCTATGGAGAAGGGCCGTTGCCTGAAATGTCGCTGACTATTTAGTTGACGCCCTTTTCAAGCCACGCACACACACACACACTGTGTGTATCATCATCATCACCATCGGCGAATGTGTTGAATAATAAGAATAATAATTACCAATTACAGAGGAATCCAATCGGACAACATGAACTGATTTAATATAAATATATTTATGAGCGCCTTAGCTCAGGGTGCTTTACACGGTTCAAACAAAAAAGTTGGACGCAAAAATCGAGCGATTGAGATGGCAGGGTCAGGAAAGGGTGGTAGGGGAGGGACGGATCGAAGGGGCGAGGGGAGGGAAGGGAGTCGGCGAAGGAGCGAAGAAGCGAGGCTTTGAGAGAGATGTCATCTGTCCCTTCGTTTTGGTGAATGTCAGAACTGAGAATAACAAAAAGAATCGCTTTGACCGTCACGCAGCGAACTTTTTGCACGTAGCAGGGCAGGCGGGAGAGAGTGCAGGATCCGCAGAGGTTACTTTGTAGGGATCTCAGAAAGTAGTTCTGTGATATCTCCTTCTGCGGGTCATTCCCTAACATTGGTGTCGGCAGTGGTGCACAAACACAATTAGCCACTTCCTCCTTCCGAGACGTCAGTTGCAGGTGGGTGTCCCGTTGACCGCTGAATTTCGGAACGCACAAGCGGTTCAGCGTTGATTTTACTTACAAAGGCGTATTAGCGCCGTTGTTTTTGAAGACGTTGTACTCACCGCAGAGAACTGTAGCGACACGACCGCCGCACTCTACGATGGCTGGCGCCAAACTGTACCGCAAGCCCTCCCTCATGGCCTTGTGGGAGCCTCGGTACCGATAAAGTAATTTAATTATTGTCTTGCTGACGATCCCGTTCTGATCAGGGGCGGAGCCAGGTGGGGTGACAGGGGTGACATTCTGCGTATAAGTGTACGACACTCGGTCTGGCGAACTCCGTGCAACTGCGTTGTCAGAGTGTGTCGCCAACCGATGGCGTCTTGTTCAACAGCCTGACTCTCTAATCATTCTTGAAATAAAAATTTGTTGAATGTCACCCCGGCCTGAAATCCTGGCTCCGCCCCTGGTTCTGATTACGTACATCAACGGAACGGAATCGTACATGGTACACGTGTACCGCGCGCGTCATCATCAGAACGGGAGAGGGTTTACAGAGAAAAAATTCGTCAATGGCATGGCGGCCTTAGAAGGAATAAAATATAATAGGTGGCGTTTTGTGCAATGCCACTTCTTCTTTGGGTTCATTGAGTTTTCTAATGCGGGGGGTTCCCTGCCCTGGAGGAATTCTGGATGACCGGGAAGCTTTTTGACTCGGTACAGAGAGCACAGTTGAGGTAACACCGAGGAGAAACCAATCAAAATATTGAGATACGGTTAAAAAAACAAAACTAACACCCACGGGAGACTGGGCGAGTGCTTGAACAGCGTTCTCTCTCACTCTATTCTGCGAAATGCATTTTAGTTGCGATTCAGGTTTCCAATAAACGGTCCATTCCCGCGTGAGCCTGCGTGCCATGCCGTAACACGGCCCTCATGGCCCACGGGTAAAACTCAAACGTAGCAGCCCGCCACTCGGCGAGCCCAGCCACGCTCATCTCCTGCGAGCAACGGGTCGCGCGCTCCTCGTCCGCTCTCATTGATCGAAGGGCGCGCGCGTATCCATTGCGTGCGCGCGTTCGTGTGCAGCCCACGTGCAGACCTACATACAGATGTGTCGGGATTACAAGACTCCCGATGCCACGTCGTTCATCGCCATGAGACCCATCAACTACCGCCTCATGCCCGACATCCAGGACATCCAAGCGACCGTCGGCGACCCGCCGAACCCGCGAACCGCGAGCGCCCAGGCGGCCCCGCCGCCGGTCCACGAGAGGGCCCCCCTCCGCGTCGTCGGCGGCGCTCCCCAGCCGCCGTCCCCCGGCGAACGAAACGATTCCCCCTCTGGCTCGCACGCCGACGGTCGGCCGGGTCCCTCGACTGCGAGCGGCGAGGCCACATCGGACGCCGGGGCCGGGCCCGTCTCGCCGAGCGGTGGCCGAGAATGCGGCCCCGGCGGTGGCGATCGCTCGCCCGGCGACCTGCCGGCGGTCGTCGACGAGACGCCCGTGGCGCCTGCGGGCGAAGACGGCGACGACGGTCGCTCGTCCGGCAGCGGGCGGGCCGCTGGGACGGGCGACGGGCAAGGGGAGGCTGTCGAGGAGGCCCCTGGGGTGGACGCGGCCCGGAGCGCGACGAGCAAGAGTCCCGCGGGAGAAGGCGTGCCCACGACGGGCGGAGCGAGCCCGCCCGTCGCCACGCCCTGCTCGTGAGCAACGCGCGCACGGCACACACAAGTGACTACACGGTGCGGCGTGTAAACATCGCCACTGGGGAGACAAAGGCGGCCAGGCCTCGTGTGCCGTGCCGGCCTTCATAGCTGCTACTCGCTAACAGCACTTGCCCCAACAGTCTGTTAAGGCTACACGGGGGATCTTTGTCCTTGGTGCTGAATGATGATGATGGTGCTGATGGTTGCCGATGTGTGCAGGGAACAAGAAGAACTCTTCCTCGTTGACTACCAAGAGATCATCAGGAGGCTGGTGCTGAAGAGTCAGGTGACGTCGCCCTCATAGCAACGCCGCTCCACCAGTGGAGCCGGCGGTGGCGCTGCACGGGGGCGTAGGCGGCGGGCGCCTCCCCTCAGGGTTCTCTTAGTAATAATAATAAAAAAGTATTTAAAATAAACAAATAAATGTACAACCTTACAACAGTGAAACAAAAACGTTCAAAAGTTACAAAAAGCTCGAACGGGCAATTTCCTAAATTATTTCGGCATCTCGATGAGGTTCCACGGAGTGTATTTGCATCGCGTCGCCTGCTACGCTTACCTTCAACATCGCGCCGACGTCGGCCCGATAAGCACTAACATCACGTGGACAAATACAGTAGGTGCAGCGGTGGTACAGTGGTTAGCGCATTGCACTATGAACCCAGCAACCCCGGGTTCAAATTCACCTGCCACGGTTAAAATCGGTGCGGAGTGACATCTGATCCCGTCCAGCGCTCCGTCCTTCACCAACCTGCACTGACCAGCGCGGTTGATTTACGGTGGGGGAAAAAATAAAAACCCTCCATGACCCACGTGGCGTTGGCAAGACAGTGCAGTAGTAGATTGAGAAAGGGTTGAAAATGGATAAGCATCTGAAAAAATGCAGCACGCATTACTCTGAACCAGCAGAGATTTCTATCCGTCGTGCGTTGGGTCTGTTCTCCTACAACGCCGCGTGTTTTCATAACGTGCATTGGATGTGGAGCGATGATGAATTTTTTTTATAACGCGAATTGGATATAACGCGATCGAGTGAACAAAACTACGTCGCGCTCGAGTAGGAATAAGCGGTCACACGGCTGCCTCGGCGTAGCATCACACAAGGCGACAGGATACTGCTGGATGCTTTTCCAGATGTTACCCACGTGCCCTCAGTCTTTGTTCAGCCTGCGTACGCATCTCACGGGGTTATCGCGGACTGTGCTTTGGTCCATAGTATGTGTTCTTTATTATAACGCGATTTCCTCCACAACACGGCGTTCTTCAGGAACGCAACAACCACTACCGCGTTGTAGGAGAACAGAGACGACTAGATTTTGATTGCGATGTCATGCTGCTGCTGTTTTGGCTGTGGTGCACAAAGCGCAGTTTACCAATGAGAACAAAAATCAAACTCACAACATTCGCCATTAACTCTGTGACCTGTTATGTTTGTAAAATTTATAAACATAACAGGCGACGTTTCGTGCAATGGCCCTTCGTTGTAGCGCGTGAAATTAAATTAACGTTTGAAAAAAATGGGCACGCAATGGCGGCGCGTCTGCCGCCAGCTCATTTATTTTACGCGCTGTTTTTTTGCGACCAAAACGTCGGCCGCTTTGTACGAGAGGCAGTGCCGAGTTCGTCAGGCGCGCCCGTGAATGACGGCGTTCGTAGCCGCGACAGGCCTCGTGCGTTTTGTGATGTGTGGTCGTACGTCTCTACGTCGAACTTCTTTCGCACCGTACGTCGCCAACGTGACGTCAAACCCAGGAGAGTTAGGTTCTGATCTGTCTGTGGCTAGATTGGCACGGTTGGCCACGTGCTGTGCGAAAGACGAAGATGCATACATAGAGATTTGGCGGCAGGGTGGTTACATTTGAGACTCGCAGCAAGAAGGGCCCTGGGTTAAATTCCTGGTTGGGGCACCTTTCTGTGGTGAGTTTGTTGGTTCTCCCCCTGTGCTGTAATGGGTTTCCTCTGGTATTCCACTCTTAGCCAAAAAAAAAAAGCCACCATAATATCACTGGAATTGACCAAACACAACAGCGCTGAAACATTTAGTGCACATTACTCAATGGCTAGTAGACACAGCAGCTGCAGCAGCAACGTCGGCCTCTCCTGCGATGAACTTGGCAGGACCCTCCTGAAAGAAGCAGTCTTGAGACTCGATGAGGCTCTCCCCTGAGCACACGAGCAGAACGATTTGAATAGCAGACACGCACACGTAGCGGCGCGTGTGTGGTGTGCGACCGCTCGCGCGCCCCCTAACTCTCCCCAATGGACCGGCCCACCCCTTGTCTCCTCTCGGCAGGTTGATAGTGGACCCGACCTCAAGGGGGGTTCCCAAGACATCCTCATCGTCCACGCGACCATGGCCGATAAAAAACGTACGCCAACCCCCGCCGCCACCCAGCCCGCCACGTCTCGGATCTAGCGTCGCTCTCTCGATATTCTGACGCGGCGGGTTCCAGCGGGCGATCGCTCGTGGGAAGAGACGGCGATTGGTTTAACCTTCGCCGGAGAGTCAGACTGGGCATCTTTTTTTTAACAGAGGAGGAATCCGATGAGCTCTAAAGCACTTTCTCACAGATGCCCAGTTGGCCCAAGCGCCACGGCGGTCACGTCACCCGGCTTGCACCCCGAGCTCGTCGCGTCTTGAAAGCTAAGCGGGCCTGAGCCGGGGACAGCGGTTGGATGGGCGACCGCCGCCACGCGCAGCAGGTCACTGCAGCAGCTCACGAATGGCGGATTGGGGAAAGGCAAAGGCAGTGGCCCAACCGTGGTGTCGACGCCACGACAGCCGGCCCTGGGATGTGAAGCGGACGTGGCGGAGTGGCCAAGCTCGGGGGCTTTGGTGCAAGAGGGAGCATCTGGGAGACCGACCGAGAGAGAGAGAGCGCGGGGAGACGGATCAGGGGGAGGGGCTCAGCGCTTGCGACGACCCGGCTAGGCTCTGCTGCTGCATGTTGTGTACGTCGAACTCCTTTTGCGCCGTACGTAGCGCCAACCCGTCCTCCCCGTCCGGCGACGTTCAAGTGTACGTAGCAGCGGACGGCGTTGTGCGTCGTGGATACCTTCCTGAGCAGTTATGGGGAACGGGCAGGAGTGGAAAGGTCTCGGCGGGGCGAGGGGGGTGGGGGATTACGGGGCGGGCAGCGGAGAGCGGTGCAAAAACTCCATCGTTGCTTCGGAGCGTTGAAGTGCAGTACAACATTGCATGTTTCTGCGCTGCCCTCCGATTTGCTCGGTGCGGTGCGAAAGAAGTTCAGCGTACGTACAACGTGCACATCGCCAGACAGAGGACAGAGGATAGAGCCCAATTACTGGCAGGCACAAGGTAAAGTCACCTTAGGCCGATTGATATGTCTAGGGAATAAAAATGAATAAACGTGACAAATAATCAGAATGTATTAATAATAACAATAATGTATAATACGATTGAAATGCAAATTAGATTAAAAACCATCGTAATCGTTTAACAGGTGGTGAGCTCACATGCATGCATGTTGAACTTCTTTTGCACCGTACGTAGCCAATCGTGTCTAATCGGAGGTGCAGTGTTGATTCTATGGTGCAGTGTTGAGTCTGGGCAGTTTTGAGTCTGGGCAGTGTTGAGTCTATGATCAGTGCTGAGTCTATGGGCAGTGTTGAGTCTATGGGCAGTGTTGAGTCTATGATCAGTGCTGAGTCTATGGGCAGTGTTGAGTCTATGGTGCAGTGTTGAGTCTATGGGCAGTGTTGGTTCTATGGACAGTGTTGAGTCTATGGGCAGTGATTAGTCTATGATCAATGTTGAGTCTATGGGCAGTATTGAGTCTATGGTGCAGTGTTGAGTCTATGGGCAGTGTTGTGTCTATGGGCAGTGTTGAGTCTATGATCAGTGCTGAGTCTATGGGCAGTGTTGAGTCTATGGGCAGTGTTGAGTCCATGATCAGTGCTGAGTCTATGGGCAGTGTTGAGTCTATGGTGCAGTGTTGAGTCTATGGGCAGTGTTGAGTCTATGGGCAGTGTTGAGTCTATGGGCAGTGTTCAGTCTATGGTGCAGTGTTGAGTCTATGGGCAGTGTTGAGTCTATGATGCAGTGTTGAGTCTATGGGCAGTGTTGAGTCTATGGGCAGTGTTGAGTCTATGGGCAGTGTTGAGTTTATGGGCAGTATGTATGTTGAACTTCTTTCGCACCCTACTTAGCCAAGCTTGTCTAACCGGAGGCATGTGATGTTGCTCGTGCGCTGCGCGACTCTCACCGAGTGTCTCCGTGTGTCCTTGCAGAGTACCTCGTGTTCTGCGAGGCGTTCATCGTCACCTACAGGACGTTCATTTCCTCCGAGGGGCTCCTCCGAAAGCTCATCATGAGATATCCTCTCTGTGCACTGCGCACAAACAAAGACAAAGATCCCCCATGTAGCCTTAAGAGACTGTAGGGGCAAGTGATGTTATCGAGCAGCACCTGTGAAGGCCGGCACAGCACACACGAGGGGGTGGGTGGCCAACACCATGCCCGGCCGCCTTTGTCTCCCCAGTGGCGATGTTTACGCACCGCAGCAGGTACTCATTTGAGGCTGAGTCGACTTAGGGGAGGCCCAAGACCGGTTCAGATAATCGTCACCGGCATTGGCCATGAGCGGGATTCGAACTTGGGTCCCCGGGTTCGTAACGCAGCGTAGCGCGAACCTCGGCACGAGCGCTCCCTGCATCGCCGTACAGACCACTGGGGCGAGTGCCGTTAAGCGAGCACCTCGCGAGACCAGAATGCTGCGTGAAGGGGGAGGCTGGGCCAGAACCACGCTCGGCCGCCTTTGTCTCTCCGGGTTTGCTCTCATTCTACACGCGGCTTCTTTAAGGTCGAGTCGACCTAGGGGGAAGCAGAGGACCGGTTCAGATCATTCCTCAGTGATGTTGAACGTGAGCGGGCGCTTGAACTCGGGTCGCCGGGTTCGTAGCGCGGCGCTCTAACCGCTGCGCCACCGCTCCCCGCTGCCGGCGCATTAATCACTCGCACACACACGCGCGCTCGCATACACGATCCAGCACCGTAGAGACAGCAGCGAGGGTTGATGGATCACTGCCCGTACCTTCCAAAACTCCCTTCTCATGAGCGCTGAGGAGGAGCCGTTCCCCGGCTCTGCCAGGAGGTCCAATTCCCTGCGCATCGTACGTAGCCAACCATGCTCATCAGAAGTGCGGACGGCAGTACGGCCACAAATGTGGACTCGAACCTTTTTCGTCTGTGCGGGGATACAATGTTTCCCCCTCGCACGCGGGGGAGTTTTCTCCGCGTGCTCCGGTTTCCCCCCACATGTGAGCGCTCATTAATTGGCCGATAGCGCCTTCATACGTAGAGGACCGCAGAGCTTTGGGCAATTGTTGTCAGCGCCGGCTCGCCGCCTGGCTGCGCTCGTCCGTGGTTCCTCCTCGCGCCTCTGCGCCGTCCCCCCTCTCTCTCTCTCGACACGAGGGCGCAGAGCGAGTACCGCGCGGCGGCCGCGGTGGCGGTGACTCGATTGCCATGCGGCGCAGCGACGTGCGCGTGTCCGCCCGCGCGTCGGCCAAGTTCCCTTGACGGTGCGAGCCGAGAACATACCGGCACCTGAGCAGGACGGAGGACGCGGCGCACACGCGGGCACGCAGGAACACGCTCTCGCTGCTGCTCAGGGTCGCCGACGACCTGTGGTGAGCGGCCGCGCACCAAACGCATCGAGCGTGGCGGAGAGCTCCCACCCCCTGCCGTCCCCTCGGACGAGTCGGCGCGCGCGCCGCGTCGCGGCTCGTGCAACGAGGTGGCGGCGTGTGCCGTGTGTTGCGTGCAGCGTCTCGGAGCTCACGGACGAGGTGGTGTGCTCGCTGGCCGGCGTGGTGTGCGCGTGCGTGACCGGCGGGGACCTGCCGCTGGCTCGGCCTCTGCGGGACACGCTTGTGACGCGCGTGACGGCGCGGCGCGCCCACGCGCAGGCGACGAGCGGGACGCCCCTCGCCAGCCTCGCCGTGTCGGCCCGGTGACGAGCGCACGCCCCCCCCCCCCCCCCCCCCCCCGCGCACGACGTGGTTTGCCGTCTCCGACGCGTGTCGTTCGATTCACTCTCGGATGTAGCGGCGCGATGCTCCAGGGCAGGGGTCGGGAACTTTTTTTGGCTGAGAGAGCCATGAAAGCCGCCACGTATTTTAAAAGAAATTTCCGTGAGAGCCATATAATATATTTTTTTTACACTGAATACAACTAAAGAAATGTCAGCTAAGATTTATTTGCGAGCCAGATGCAGTCGTCAAAAGAGCCACATCTGGCTCGCGAGCCATAGGTTGCCGACCCCTGCTCTAGGGGGTTGTCGAGTTTGTCTTGGGCATGGGGGACGTAGGGGGGAAGGGGCAGGATAGGGGCAGTTGCCTCCTTGGAGTTCGGGCAGGAAAAGCCGTCTTCTGTTTTTGCCTCAATTTTAAAGTAAAACGATTGAACTATTTTTTTTATTTTGCCAGCTACGGCCCACTGAGCTATACGTTTTTTTCAGAGGCGACCTGGCTATCACAGATGATCAGCTCAACGAAGTGGCTCGTCGTGTGGAAATGTAGGGCAGCCGAAGACTCTAAACGCGTGATTCATTTTAAATTCTAAATGTAGAGGGAAAAGCCGAAAGGAACCGGAGAAAAATCCACGCAAACACGTGGAGAGAGAGAGAGAGGGAACATTCGACTCCAAATATACAGCAGGTGACAGGGTCGGGATCGAACCCACGACCTCCCGCATACAAGGCGTGGTAGTTAACATCTCCTAGCCACCGTGAGCCAATGTCTACGAAGAATTCATGTCGCTGCTTTACAGCCAACGTTCAAACTCCCCCACGCCTGGCCCTTCGCTCGGTGATCTCTGTGCGCCAGTCATCGCAAAGCAAGCCCCGTTTTTGGGGAATCACTCTGCTGTAAAAGGAAAGTAATCATTTAAAGTAATTGGCACTCGTTAAATGAAGCTAATCTGATGACAGGCTGCATGCAGAGGATGAAGACAAGATTTTCGGGACTTGCCTATAATCTAATTACAGTATGAATGTACAGTAAAACCTTGGATTGCGAGCATAATTCGTTCCGGAAACGTGTTTGTAATCCAAAGCACTCGTATATCAAAGCGAATTTCCCCATAAGAAATAATGGAAACTCAGATTATTCGTTCCACAACCCAAAATATTAATATAAAAATGATTAATATAAAATACCTTTTTTATATTTTTATTATTTAAATTTAATATAAAGTAATCAAATTTATTAATTCAATTTAATCGTGGTTGGTGTGAGGGAGACGAGAGAGAGGAGGAGGAGGGTTATTGTGTAGGACGACTTCCACTGTCACTAACGGAATCACTGGCATCTGTTGGCTCACTGGAATCTTTTTTTTATTTTTGTGCGACTTTAACAAGGAACCTATCCAATGACACTTGCTTTTGTTGCAGTACAGTTACTAAAGAACAGTCACTACACTTGGACACAAAATAACAAAAATGCTTTACGCACACACACTTGGTCACAACACTATACTGTAGTAAACACTATAGTACTGTAGTAAACACTATATTGTAGTAAACAGTATACGCTCGCACGGATGTTGACTATACGAGTGAGGCACGCCGACTGAGACCGAGCATGGGAGACGATTACCCACAATCCCGCAGCGAGAGAGAGAGAAGAACAATCGGCTCAGTTGTGATCACGTGACGCTTGGCAGACAAAGCGTATAGTCTACGTACTGCTCGTATTGCAAAACACTCGCAGAACAAGTTAATGGCAATCCAAGGTTTTACTGTATGTTAAACTTATTTTGCACCGTGCGTTGCCAATCGTGCTAATTGCAGGTGCATGAATAACACTCCGGTGTAGTAATGAGTATGTGTGCTGTACCCGCGCCTGTGTGTATGTGTGTATCTGTGTGCACGCGCGTGTGTGTGTGCGCTCGTGTCCCCGTGCGTTGCAGACCGGCCTCGGTCCACGACTTCCACAGCCTCGAGTTGGCGGAGCAGCTCACTCTGTTGGACTCTGAGCTGTTACAAAAAATCGAGGTAAACCGACGCTCTCCGTGGTGGCTCGCGCGTGGCTCCGTCCGCCGGGACGCCCGCGGATGCGCGGCGTGGTGATGCAACGAGCCCCGAAAGTAACAGCGGGTGACTGCGGCAGCAGCACGCTTGCCGGAAGGCGCTCGTCCATTCGTTAGAATCGACCTGCGAAGGGCGACACCTTTAAAGCAAAATTTGCAATGGACGCCAGTTGACGTTGGCCCGGTGTTTGGCCCAACGCCAACTGACATTCACCGACGTTAGGCCAACCTCTGCACGTTTACCGGGATGCCCATTCACCATCGTTACCACCACCACCGTCATCATCATCAGGCATGATCTCGCCACTGCCGGAAGCAGAGGGAGCCTTCGCTCCGTGTGCGAGTCGATAGCTTGTACCCTCCCACTGTAGCCATTGAACAGATCAACGGAATCTGCGAGAACTTCTGTTCTGGCAAAAAGAATGGGAAAAAGAATTAAGGGTTGGCTTGAAGTAATGACATAACAACAATAATGCAAAATAAGCTAATGTGCCCTAATCTATAATTGGCAATTTTCTTTGGTTCTTTCGGTAAAGTCACGTAGATATAAGAAATAATATCAATAAAATAATAAAAATAAAGTGGCTTTTTCGATGTAAAGCTTTCGTGACTGCAAGCATTCATCTTCTTTGGTTCTTTCGGTAAAGTCACGTAGAATGAGAATAAAATAATAAATTGATAAAATAAAATAACACAATAATATTCTCACGACGTTTTGGCCACAACACAAGCGGCCTTCATCAGGTGAAGGGACGAGACTGTCTGGAGGACAGCGCTGGAGTGAAAAAGCCACGCTCAGATCGCGACCTTTGTTTCTTCTCACACAGCTTAAAGGTCGCGATCTGAGCGTGGCTTTTTCACTCCAGCGCTGTCCTCCAGACAGTATCGTCCCTTCACCTGATGAAGGCCGCTTGTGTTGTGGCCGAAACGTCGTGAGAATATTATTGTGTTATTTTATTTTATCAATTTATTATTTTATTCTCATTCTACGTGACTTTACCGAAAGAACCAAAGAAGAAAAATAAAGTGAATAAAAAATATCACGACGTTTTGATCGCAACACAAGCGGTCATCATCAGGAACAGGGAGGTTAGCCTCTGAGGGCAGGCTGTTTATAAAGGTTTAGAGATGAGCGGGGCAGCTAATGTTAATACATTGAGGGAAAAAAGTATTTGATCCCCTGTTGATTTTGTACGTTTGCCCACTGACAAAGAAATGACCAGTCTATAATTTTAATGGTAGGTTTATTTGAACAGTGAGAGACAGAATAACAACCAAAAAATCCAGAAAAACGTATGTCAAAAATGTTATAAATTGATTTGCATTTTAATGAGGGAAAAAAGTATTTGACCCCTCTGCAAAACATGACTTAGTACTTGGTGGCAAAACCCTTGTTGGTAATCACAGATGTCAGACGTTTCTTGTAGTTGGCCACCAGGTTTGCACACATCTCAGGAGGGATTTTGTCCCAATCCTCTTTGCAGATCTTCTCCAAGTCATTAAGGTTTCGAGGCTGACGATTGTCAACTCGAACCTTCAGCTCCCTCCACAGATTTTCTATGGGATTAAGGTCTGGAGACTAGCTAGGCCACTCCAGGACCTTAATGTGCTTCTTCTTGAGCCACTCCTTTGTTGCCTTGGCCGTGTGTTTTGGGTCATTGTCATGCTGGAATACCCATCCACGACCCATTTGCAATGCCCTGGCTGAGGGAAGGAGGTTCTCACCCAAGATTTGACGGTACATGGCCCCGTCCATTGTCCCTTTGATGCAGTGAAGTTGTCCTGTCCCCTTAGCAGAAACACACCCTCAAAGCATAATGTTTCCACCTCCATGTTTGACGGTGGGGATGGTGTTCTTGGGGTCATAGGCAGCATTCCTCCTCCTCCAAACACGGCGAATTGAGTTGATGCCAAAGAGCTCCATTTTGGTCTCATCTGACCACAACACTTTCACCCAGTTGTCCTCTGAATCATTCAGATGTTCATTGGCAAACTTCAGACGGGCATGTATATGTGCTTTCTTGAGCAGGGGGACCTTGCGGGCACTGCATGATTTCAGTCCTTCACGGCGTAGTGTGTTACCAATTGTTTTCTTGGTGACTATGGTCCCAGCTGCCTTGAGATCATTGACAAGATCCTCCCATGTAGTTCTGGGCTGATTCCTCACCATTCTCATGATCATTGCAACTCCAAGAGGTGAGATCTTGCATGGAGCCCCAGGCCCAGGGAGATTGACAGTTCTTTTGTGTGTCTTCCATTTGCAAATAATCGCACCAACTCTTGTCACCTTCTCACCAAGCTGCTTGGCAATGGTCTTGTAGCCCATTCCAGCCTTGTGTAGGTCTACAATCTTGTCCCTGACATCCTTGGAGATCTCTTTGGTATTGGCCATGGTGGAGAGTTTGGAATCTGATTGATTGATTGCTTCTGTGGACAGGTGTCTTTTATACAGGTAACGAGCTGAGATTAGGAGCACTCCCTTTAAGAGTGTGCTCCTAATCTCAGCTCATTAACTGTATAAAAGGTAAAATATACCTGGGAGCCAGAAATCTTTCTGATTGAGAGGGGGTCAAATACTTATTTCCCTCATTAAAATGCAAATCAATTTATAAAATTTTTGACATGCGTTTTTCTGGATTTTCTTGTTATTTTGTCTCTCACTATTCAAATAAACCCACCATTAAAATTATATACTGATCATTTCTTTCTCAGTGGGCAAACGTACAAAATCAGCAGGGGATCAAATACTTTTTTCCCTCACTGTATAGGAGAGGGCTCGACACCATCAGTAGGTCTACACCAATCATAGCGCTGTTTATAAAGGTTTAGAGATGGGCGGGGCAGCTAATGTTAATGTAGGAGAGGACTCCACACCGGCAGTAGGTATACACCAATCAGCAATGTTTCAAGCAATGATCCGTCTTCTTCATGTGCTATGAAGAAGAAGAAAATTTCATTACCTGCAACGTCGTCCATTATGCGATGTTCCCTTTTAAGGCCACAGTGTTATTGGCGAGTGTGTTGAGTTTTGTAACACATACCTGGCATCCATAATACAGGATTCTTTGGGTTAGATCGCGTAAATATATAAATGTGTCGTTAAACCCGGCACCACCCGACACAGCCAATTAGTAAAGGTTTGTCACGTAAACAGAACGTTACTAGTACAGCACACCGGTGTGTTGGAGAGCAAAACCACAACATTTATAATCTGAGTACGACGTTTCGCCAGTAATTACAACTAGCTTCATCAGGCGACAACCAGATCTAACCCAAAACCTGTATGAAAGCCTACGTGTTAAACTGACACACCTGTCAACCCTTTATCAGTGCCTATCTCATTACAAACCAATTCAGACCTTGCACAACCCATGCCCTTATAAATCTCAACGTTCATCCTACAAAGTCCCATCACAAGGGAGAAACACAAACAAATGCAATTTTTTTTTCTCCCAAATTGAAACGGCTGTACGCCGTATTGACCTGGTAGCTCAATTTCCCTGTACAAGAATGCGGGGGTAAATCGTTTGGGTTGACTGGTATGGTAACAGAGTCGAGTTAAGTGTTAAGTGTTGCCGAGTTACGTGTTGCCTTGTGACTCTGGATTGAGTGTCTGGTCGTGCTGCGTGTGCGTCACCGCGTCGCCTGCCCGTGTGCTCGCTGCGTGTCTTAGATTCCGGAGGTGCTGCTCTGGGCCAAAGACCAGAACGACGAGAAGAGTCCAAATCTGACTCGGTTTACGGAGCACTTTAACGCAGTGTCCTACTGGTACCTGGCCACACACACACTCCCTCACCTACCTGGCCACACACCTACCTGGCCACACACACACACTCACTCCCTCACCTACCTGGCCACACACCTACCTGGCCACACACACACACTCACTCCCTCACCTACCTGGCCACACACCTACCTGGCCACACACACACACACTCACTCCCTCACCTACCTGGCCACACACCTACCTGGCCACACACACACACTCACTCCCTCCCTCACCTACCTGGCCACACACTCACTCCCTCCCTCACCTACCTGGCCACACACCTACCTGGCCACACACACTCACTCCCTCTTTCACCTACCTGGCCACACACACTCACTCACTCCCTCCCTCCCTCACCTACCTGGCCACACACACTCACTCCCTCACCTACCCGGCCACACACACACACTCCCTCTCTCACCTACCTGGCCACACACCTACCTGGCCACACACACTCACTCCCTCTCTCACCTACCTGGTCACACACCTACCTGGCCACACTCATACACACACTTATCAATTCACTCACTCCCTCACCAACCTGACCACACTCACTCCCTCCCTCACCTACCTGGCCACACACACTCACTCCCTCCCTCACCTACCTGGCCACACACCTACCTGGCCACACACACACACTCCCTCTCACCTACCTGGCCACACACACTCACTCCCTCTCTCACCTACCTGGCCACATACCTACCTGGCTACACTCATACACACACTTATCAATTCACTCACTCCCTAACCGACCTGACCACACTCACTCACTCCCTCACCGAGCTGGATACACATCACACACTCACTCACTCAACAACAACAACAACCGCCATTCGCTACTAAGTAGCAGTGACGTTACCATGGTGCTTGTGCCAGGCTATGTGCCCGTTAAGGCCACGTGAAGTGTCGAACGCCCGAGCTCTTACTGCGACAACCTTGCTCAACTGAAGAAATGCGTGAACTCTTTACCTCGATGTGGTGCTGTTTGTTGCCGGCCGCTGTGCTCGGCAACTGTGTAAAAAATAATAACATCCCCAAAAGTCACCACCCTTCTCTGCTGTCTTTTTGCAAAGCCTCTTGCAACGGCCATGGTAGTGCTTGCTGATGACGGTAGTACCTGCAATAGTACCTGCAATAGTACCTGCGAACAATACTGAGAGAACTGTTGAATAGTCCACCGTGAGTCCATGGCGGGTGAGGCTGTGAGTCCATTTGTGTGCGTGGGGAGCGGTGGTGTCCGCGGTCAGCGCGCTACGCTGCACTTTGAACCCGGCCACCCGAGTTCGATTCCCGCTCACGGCCAACACCGGTGATGATTACAATCTGAACCGGTACTGGGCCTCCGCTGGGTCGACTCAGCCTCAAATGAGAAACCTGTCCGTATGTGTAAACAATGCCACTGGGGAGACAAAGGCGGCCGGGCGTGGTTTCTGGCCACCCCCCCCCCCCCCCCGGCCTTAATAGGCGCTGCTTGCTATAACAGCACTTGCCCCAACAGTCTGTTAAGACTGCGTGGGGGATCTTTGTCCGTGCGCATGCCGGAGAATGTGCGTGCGCGTGCGTGCGTTGACATGCCATGCCGTGCCGTGCAGGGCTCAGACCGTGCTGATCCAGGCCGACAAGCAGTCGGAGAGGGAGCGGCTCGCCCACAAGTTCCTCAAGATTATGAAGGTCGGGGGGGGGCTTCACAGTGCCGGATTCAGCTAGTGCGGGGCCTGTAGCATATGTTATAAAGGGGCCCTAAATAAAATTTAAAAAACACGTAAATATTAAAACACAAATGTTTTACTTTCATATAGTAAAGTAATTGTATTTTTTCATTTGCTATGCATCCAGATAATACGACAAATCGCTAACCTTAAACACTCAGCCGTTCATAAAAGTTCAAGGCGGTATAGTACTCTAGTAATAGAGCAAGTGCAGAATCACTGAACCGGAATTGATAGCTTGAAAGCGTTTAGCGCGGAGCCCTTGAAAGTGCGGGGCCCGTAGCTACTACTGCACGTGTAGTAGTTGCTACATAAGTAGCTACTTTTGCTACTACGATACGATCATCCGGCACTCTGACTTGACCTTCGCACACGGGGGGGGTGGCTTCTTCTTGTGGCAAGGCGGCGAGGCCTTAACGGCCGCTGGGCTCGACCCAAGTTCGGATTCTCACTCGCACGCTCAAGCTTTGCACATCGGTGATGTGAACCACCCCGTGGGTATCCCCGACGTCGGTTCGGCCTTAAATGAGTGGCTGTTGCGGTCGCCACTGGGGAGATAAAAGCGGCCGGGCGTGGTGTTGGTAACCCACCACCCGCCTTCGTGCGCCGTGCCGGCCTTCGCCGGTGCTACTCGCTAACAGAACTTGCCCCAACAGCCTGTGAAGGCTACACGGGGGATATCTTTGTGTGTCTGTCTATGCACGTGGGGGAGCGGAGGTGGAGCGGTTAGCGCTCTGTTATGCGAACCTGGCAACCCCGGTGAAGATTCTGAAATGGTCCTGGGCCTCCCCTAGGTTGACTCGGCCTCAAATGAGCATCTGGTGCTGTGTGTACACATCACTACTTAGGAGACAAAGGTGGCCGGGTGTGGTGCTGGCCACCCGACCCCTTTGCATGCCACGCCGGCTTTTATAGGTGCTCGCTGACAGCACTTGCCGCAAACAGTCTTGTAATGGCGACATGGGGGTTCTTTGTCTTTGTGCGTGTCCAGCACCTGCGACGCCTCAACAACTACAACTCGTACCTGGCGTTGTTGTCTGCACTGGAAGCCTCGGCCATCGCCCGCCTGACGTGGCCAAAGAGTGTCACTGAGGTCCAGCACGCAAGCGCTTGCCCACATCATCACCGCAACAGACAGAGCAACAACTTACTTACCCAGAAAAGCCACGCCGGACTCCCAGGTTCCGTTGTCAGGAGGATCCTGACCCTACATTGGGTTCTTATTTAAATGCATGTATGTTGTATGTATGTTGAACTTATTTCGCACCGTACGTGGCCAACCGTGCTTAACGGAGGTGCTGATTTCAGCCAATGAATGATGAGTGTATATACGCGTGGGAGGATACCGGAGCACGCGGAGAAATCTCATGCACGCAAGGGGGTAATGCTGTATCCCCGTATGGGTGGAAACATGGAGATTGGCTCACTTGCTGTAATACCGCCTTCTCCCCTTTGCAAATCAGGGTAAGGCCAACCTCACTGCCCACGGGAAGGAAGTTTCGCACTATTTGTGTGATCCACCAACCCCTCGCTTCCCAGTGCTAGATTACAGGCCACATGCATAGCCACCACCGAACCACACATACACACACTCTCCCATATAGCCTGTAACAGGCAGTTGGGGCAAGTGCTGTTCGCGAGCACCTATGAAGGCCGGCATGACGCATGAGGGGTGTGTGGCCGACACGACGCCCGGCTGCCTTCGTCTCCCCAGTGACAATGATCACAAGGGACACCAGGTTTTCACTTGAAGCCGAGCCGACCTAGGGGAGGCCCAGGACCGGTTCAGATGATCATCACTGCGGTTGGCCGTGAGCCGGAATCGAACCCGGGTCGCCGGGTTTGCTAACCCCTGCACTACGGTTCCCCACACACACGCACAAGAACACACTTCCATACACACACTCATTGCCAAATGCACATGTGCATCACGTATCGCTCTATGTCATCAAACCGTACACAAAGGTGGCTTTGGGATTTGGGCGATCTTGGGTTCACGTCTGTGTCTGCGTGTGTGCGTTTGTGATGCAGACGATGGCAGAGTTCCGCCAGCTGATTGACAGCTCGGGCTCGTTTTCCAATTACCGCTCGGCCCTGGAGAAGGCCCAACCCCCGTGCCTCCCCTACCTGTGAGTACGTGCGCTCCAACGCGAGTGCGCGTGACTGCGCGTGCGTACGCACTCCTCTGCACGGAGTGCAAGTGGATTTTTCTACGGGTCCCCCAGGTTTTTCCGTCCGCGTTTAGAATCGGCGTCGCGCACGTTATAAGGGTATTTGGCTCCTGCTATAAATGTGCACATGATGAGCTATCGTTTGTGGCCAGGTCGCTTCTGAGAAAGAGCTCTAGAGTCTCAGTGGGCCTTACCTGGTCAAATAAAAACAGTCGGAGGAGTAAGTTGACAGCAAGATGACATTCAGGGACACGCTTTTCAATCGATCAGTATTTTACGTGCCAATATTGCTCCCAATAAAGTGGGCACCAGTGCAGGGTACAGCGGAACGGGAGCCGGGCAGGGCACAGAGCAACAGGAATGGCAAAATTAACCCGTCACGACCTCAGCGGCTAACACCGATTGAGCAAAATAAGATGCAACCGTGCGCAGAGAATATAATAAGGGTAAGTGGTAAATAAAATGCTGCCGTGTTCATCTTCTTCCTTTAATGATCCCCCTCCTGCATCAACTCAGTCAGCCAATACAGCCACACAGAGTCAGTCTGAATGCCACGAGGTCAACATTGAAAGTGGTCTCATGAAAACATTTCGCTACTTTTTGACGAACTTCCTTGCAAATTCTGTGTATTATTCCTGCTTAAGATTTACATCCGTGTCGTTTGTCTGCATGAGCGTGCGCACGCACGCACGCACACACACGCCCGTGCTTGTGTGTGTCTGTGTACGCATGGGGAGTGGTAGTGTAGCTACCGGAGTTCGATTCCCGCTCACGGCCAACACCAGTGACCAATATCTGCACAGGTCCTGAGCCTCCCCTAGCTCGACTCAGCCTCACATCAGTACCTCGTTGCGGTGTTGAAACATCGCCACTCGGGAGACAAAGGCGGCTGGGCGTGGTGCTGGCCTCCATAGGTGCTCGCTAACAGCACTTGCCCCAACAATCTGGTTCAGTTGTACGGGGGGGGGGGGGTCTTTGTGTTTGTGTGCACGTGATGTGTGTGTGCCGATTGATATTTATTTAATCTGGCTTGTGTTCAAGACCTTGCTGCCTTTAATGCTGTTCAGAGGTCAATTGATTTAGTGTTTTATATGCAAGCACGTTTATGCATTGTTATTTTCATTATTTGGCTGCTATTAATGTCGACGTGATGAGCCGCTTTGTTGAGCTAACATTTGTGGCCAGGTCGCTTCTGAAAAATAAGCTAATCGCTCCAGTGGGCTTTACCTGATTAGAGAAAAAAAAAATGTTTCGTTTCATTTGTAAAAACTTTTAAGTGACTTGTTTAACTTTTCCTGTACTTTGCACTCCAGTTGTGTTTTTGTGTTGTTTGTTGTTGTAACCTTCGCACCCCATGCCCCTAGCTGGACATCTGTAAAAAAGAGCTTTATAGCTCATCGGATTCCTCCAGTATAAATACAAATTCTGATACTAATTGTGAATAATTATGTTTAAAAATTGTCATATTGATTAACTTTGATTGTGTGCGCACACGTGTCCGTGCGTGTGTGTCCGTGCGTGTGTGTGTGTCCGTGCGTGTGTGTCCGTGCGTGTGTGTCCGTGCGTGTGTGTCCGTGCGTGTGTGTCCGTGCGTGTGTGTCTGTGCGTGTGTCTGTGCGTTGACGAGCAGCGGGCTGATCCTGCAGGATCTGACGTTCGTGCACATGGGGAACCCAGATCTCATCGCCGGCCGAGTGAACTTCTCCAAGCGCTGGCAGCAGTTCAACATCCTGCAGAGCCTGCGTACCTTCCTGCACTGGTACGATCACACACACACACACGGGGTCTAGCACACACACACGGGGTCACACGGGGTCACACGGGGTCACACACACACGGGGTCTCACACACACACACAGGGTCACACACACACAGGGACTCACACACACAAAGGGACACACACACACACATACACACACAGGGACTCACACACACACAGGGACTCACACACACACGGGGTCTCACACACACACACCCACACATGGGGTCTCACACACACACACCCACACACGGGGTCTCACACACACAGGGACTCACAAATACACAGGGACTCACACACAGGGACTCACGCACACACACGGGGTCTCACACACAAATGGGGATTCACACACCGTAACGTGCAAATGTCTCCTCCTCCTCTCCCCTCCCCGTGTCCCGACGCAGCCGCTACGAGTTCCAGCGCGTGGACGCCGTGCTCTCGTGTTTTGACGGCTTCACGGCGCGCCTGGGCGAGGAGTCTCTCTACGAGCTCTCCCTCGCCATCAAACCGCGCGCACGGCGGCGCCACTGCGACCAGCTCACCGCCTAGCAGCGCCCGCGCCGTTTCCGTGGCAACCGCTGCCCAGGCCGTTTCCATGGTAACCGCTGCCCAGGCCGTTTCCGCGGCACCTGCTTTCCAGGCCGTTTCCGCAGCAACCGCTTCCCAGGCAGTCTCCGCGTTTGCCACCGCGACGACCGCATGAGCGTCCCTCTCCCCCTCCCCCCCTCTCGGACCGTCACGTCGGCGTTATGCGCGAGTCGTGTTGCTGGCCTGTATTTGGCGTGCCGGTGCGCAAGGGGGCACGAGGTGGTGCCAATGGCCCCACTGGCCGTGGAGTCGGCCACAGTGCGCGCGAGGCCCCAACGACGGAGCCGCGAGTCGAGCCTCAGGCCGGGGCTCGGCCAAGGCCAGAGAGTCGGGGAGTTCGTGAACGAGGACTTAGGGCGCAAGATGTGAAAAAGAGTGTTTCTCAATCTTTGTTTTTTTACGTACGTTTTACTTTTTTTTTCCTTGTGTCACGTGTATAGTTACAAGTGTATTGTATCCCAGTGTATGGGCCCTCAATAAAGGACACTCGCTGGTGTGCGAGGTCCGTGACGTTCACTCCTTTAAGCTCGATGCTCTCCGCGTCACTTGCTTGTTGCGTTAAGCTGATCATCCTTTGCCCAACCGTGCTCATCGGAGGTGCGGGCTATGTACGGTGCCAAAGAAGTCCAGCATACATACCTGTGCATAATTCTATATTTGAAGCTTTCGTGACTGCAAGGATTCACTGGTTTTTTTTGGTAAAGTCATTTATTTTATTTTACCTACGTGACTTTACCTGTACATACTTGCACTTCAGAGCACAAATCAAAATAACCCCGACTGCCCGGGCCCCTTGTTCGTCACAAACCACGCTCCTCCCCCAGCAAAGCAGATTACCTCTTACCCTCACTCTGCAGGGCGCATTGCCCAGAATATTTGCCTGTTGGGTATAGCTATTATATCTCGTTTCTGCCGTAATGCGTTGGGCAACAGGGTGGACAGTAGAGGACAGTGTTGCAAAATCAATTGTAATGTACTTCTATGCTCCCCGAGATTATCCTGTGTACCTTCAACCCACATCGAGCAGGGTGGTAAAGTATGGACAAATAACCCCCACGAGCTACATATGGGGTAGGAAAGCCCTCATCCAGCAGTGGATAGGGCTGCACATGCATCGTGAGACAACTCACTGTGGCTGCTGGCCTCTGCCATAGGAATGTGGAATTTCCACCAATTACCCCCCCAAAAAGTGTATTTGCAGTATTGTCAACAGGGCGATTTAGCAGCCGACATCTTTGGAAATGTTCCCATGTGTTTATTCCAACATTGATGCCCATTACAAACGGTATCAACGGGGTGATTGAACATGAAAAACCAAGTCGTTTAAAATCAAGAGACTACACAGTCCGCATTGTACAAGGCCTCGGGCAGCAATTTGGCATTGCATTCCTTTTGTTCGAAGAAATGACAGTTGGCAAGGAAGGCACTCCGTAGTATCGCTCAGCCAGGTGTGCGTAGAGCGACCTGCTACCTGGCCATCGCGCCAAGCAGGTGACAATTGCCCACACCTGGTGCCCAGCCTTCAAGGCACTAACCAAGGTATGGAAGCACTTGTTGAGGTTCTACACACACACGCACGTGAATCGGTGGACAGAAATGTTTTGTTCATAACCTGATGAAATGAAATATAACCTGCTGGTCCGAGTGAAGAAATCACGATAGTTGTCCCCGAAAGCCAGAGGATGTGTCGCATATTTAACATTTTTACTCGGATATGTATGACGAGTACACTACTGTAAAAACAATCTAAAAAAATACATTCCAGCAAGCGTGAAAGTAACATGTTTGCAGAATGGCGAACTCAAAAGCAACACATCTAAAGCCTTGATTTACCTTGGACCAATTCACCCGTACATCCACTTAAGCAAGTGCATCTAATTACAGGAAGCACGTATTTAAGGAGGAAACAACCAAACATTTCAGACAGGGCCCTCCCAGAAAAGAAAACTATACATTACGCGGTGTTCCGAGGCAAGCAAAAGATGAATAATATTGCGCTTGTTTGCGGATTGCGTCTGAAACGGTGGTGGGGACGGTTTTGGAACGGTGGTCATCATCTCCACGCCACTGGAAGCCGTGCACGAAGCCGTCCAGAGCTCCTCTAGACCTTGTACTTGGCCAGGTGTTCACGCGCGATGATCAGGCGCTGAATTTGAGCCGTGCCTTCGTAAATCTGCGGAGGGGGAGAGTGAAGAGATGAGATGAGCCCTACATGTGTTGCTAAGCGCCACGGTACTTGGAGCAACGTGTCACGTTCACCGAAAGAGGAAAATAGCAACAACATTGTGAATGCGAAATATTTAAATTGTCTACGAAGCGTTCAATAAGCTGGAGAGAGCTGCCGTGGTGAAGCAATGGAGGGGGGAGGGGGAAGTTTCTCTATCCACCCAGCAGGATACTAAAACGGGTTCCCCATGGACAAGTCGATCGGCAGGTGGAGTTCGGTGGGGTAAAAGCTGAGTACTCCCCCACCTCGTCCAAGAAGTCTTGTCAGCTGAGAATGAGAGGCCAAATACCCTCTCGAGGGGCTCTCCCTAGAGCTCCATCTCGTGGAGGACTGAAGGTTTCCGGCTGGCAGCGCGTGAAGTGCGATAACCGAAGTGCACGCTTGAATGAGCCAACTTCCCCACAAAGCACTGGGATGCGTCCATTCGACAGGCACAGCGCTCTGCCGTGGTGCTATGGAGACGGACGTTCACCCTTACGTTGAACGCCGTCAGAAAGCAATGGCGGGTGATGCCACGCAACCCCGCTCAGCCGATGATTGCGCGCCGCGTTGCCTCAGAGAAGCGAGTGTTCGCAGGAAGGAGCGGCGCCCTCCGCTTTGGCTGGATTTTGACACGCACGGCTAACGCCCAGCGAGGCACGGCTCCTCGGGCTGTTAGTTGCTGGCACGATGACACGCTCTGGGCCAAAAGTTCGTTGAACAGAAAAACGCTGTGTCAGCGCTCTGCCCATTGAATGCGCCCCCCGGCTGTTTTCAGTCGCTCGTAAGATGAAAGTTGGTATAAATGTTACAGAAGTTTTTATTATCCTAGTAAATAACCCATTGAGCCACCCAGATTTTTTCAAGGGTGAATTGGCCAGCAGAAAAACAACACCAAGAGTGACACATTAATAAATATACAATATACAAAATATTACATCCATATGAAATGGGACCTCTTTGTCAGACTCAAAATATGAAAAAATAAGAATAGGGTTTACCCTTTTGGCGTTCTCTGGTCTGAAACTGGTGAGACTAGGCCCCAAGGAAGGCTGTCTCTGGTGTAGGCTTATCAGTTTCAAAGCCAATGCATATATTATCAGAGCATGTTTGTTTGCATGTTCACCACAACAAGTACGTGTGGTTAATGCATACATGATTCATTGCAAAAGATTTATATTTGGTCTTTGAACATCTTAACACTTCCTGTTTTACTGCCAGAAAGGGTAAAACCATATCATCTTACAAAACATGTCAGGACGTGTTTGCTGTGTATGTGGTGGCGCATCTGCCAGTCATCTCAGTCGGTCAACTCATGGCACCTGGGTCTGTCCTGTGACCTCTTGCCAGGGGGCATTCGATACTTCACGTGGTCTTAAAGTGCACGTTGTCTGGCATAAGCGCCATGGAGACATCACCGCCACTTAGTGGCAAATGGTGGTTGTTTTTTTTGCTGTGTGTGTCAAAAGACACCGCTGCAAACAACATTCTACATCAAGGGATTGAATGAAGGAGAAACAATCGTTTGCCAGTTAACAGCTTACCTGGTAGATCTTAGCATCACGCATCAGCTTCTCCACGGGGTACTCGCTGTTGAAGCCATTTCCACCAAAGATTTGCACCGCATCAGACGCCACCTGCCACCACCGAATATCATAGTTCATCATCATCAGCCATGCTTAGGAAGTCCAAAAGAAACCACTCCTTTAACCCCGTCCTACTACAGAGCATCCAAGTAACCATCACTTTCAAGCCAATATGGTGCAACTCATGCACGTCACGAATCTCAACGATACGGAACACAGCCGCCTTCCGTCACACCCTTGTCAGTCGCACCCATAAACATGACCACGTCCATCCCAAACTTCAGATTCCTCCCCACTGGCTCCAAATATGCTGCCCTCAGATCAACTACAACATGACCTGTCCGTAAGTTCCTCGGCGGACTCGTCCCTGATGACCTCTCACCTCACTCCACCCACCTTTCACCAGGTGCCCTCCTCGCTTCCAGTAACCAAGGCCTCCTATCAAAGCCTCGTCATAACTTCTGCTCAACGGGATGTCACTCCTCCTCTCTACTACATCTGGATTTCCTTGCTTTGACCAGCTGCACTGGACCTCCCCTCCATCTCTGGCGGTTAAGGCTTAAGGCTTGCCTAATTTCCTTTACCTTATGCTATATTTATATAGCGCCTTTAGCTAAAGGTGCTCTACATAGTTTAAAAAGCGGTAACGAATTCGAGTAATGTAGATGGCAGGGGCAGTGCAAGGGCTGAGGAATGAGTGACCTATAGGGGAGGGCTGTAAAGGAGTGGAGGGGTCAAGGGAGGGAAGAGGAAGGGGCGATGGAGACGAGGTGAGGTTTTCAGAGAGGAACAGAAGGAGGTTAATGAGGGAGACTGCTTCATGTACAGGTGCAGTGTTGAGTTTATGGGCAGTGTCGAGTCTATGGGTGGCAGTGTTGCTTAATGTACAGGGGAAGTTCATTTTAGTGGAGGGGTGCAACAAGGGAGCAGGATCGACAACGGGATTGGGTACAGGGAGGAGGTGTCTTTATTCACTTAAGACTCTCTTTACAAAGCGTCTTCATTCGCATCTTTACCATATTTTTTTTTCCTTTGACGACCGGCAGCATTCAACTCCCCCCCCCACCCCCGACTCGTTCCCTGAGAAAAATCTACAGGAAACCTTTTACCGCAAATCATCTCCACGAGCGTTCCCCCCCCCCTCCATTGCGAGAGGCCTCCGCATTCACTCGCTCTATGAACCCCAACGGTGGTTTGTGCGTCGAGAGCAGCGCCGAGCGGGAACTGTCGTAGAGCAGCGATGAAAATCACCGATTACAGATTTGCACCCCCCCATATATGGAAGGCGTGGCATTGGCCGAAGGGCCGTGACTTTGCCCATGCATGGTCGCTATGGATCAAGGGTTCGAGGTTAATTTGCATCGATTTGGCTCCGTAGATCAGGCACCCAGCTCAAAGCTGATTAATTGCCAATCAATTAATTGTGCAATAACTTGGGATCGTGGTCATGTGACACCCCCCACCCCCCCTTATTTGATTGCCTAATATCAGCAAGATCAGCGATTCCTGTCAAAGTCCGCTTTTATTGTATCACAGCGCCCCCACGCTCGCCCACGTACGCCCGCGCGCGCCCACGCATGCGGCACCTGGTTGGCGATGTCGCCGGCGTAGGCTTTGGCGATGGAGGCCAGGTAGGTGTTGCGGAAGCCGTGGTCCACCTCCCAGGCGGAGCGCTGCGTGGCCAGGCGAGCGAGCTCCACCTTCATGGCCATCTCCGCCAGGAGGAAGGACACGGCCTGGTGCTGCGACCCACGAGCAACGGCACAACGTCATCTCGGCTTCCACGCACGCATACTCCTTAAGCAGCAAGGGCGCGCGCTGCTGCTTTGCGGCGGCATCGTCGATAGAACCGTGCGCGTGTGCGAGCCGGCGTCAGGCGAAACCGAAAAATCGTCGCGGCTCAAAGAGGAGCAACGTCGTAACGCAGCATGACGTCACGCGCACCTCTCGGTCTGCTGAGCGCGAGTGACTAGAAAAGCCAGGAGCCAGCGTTGGTGGCGCTGCAGTTGACCGGACAAGGTTTTTTTTTTCCACCGAACAGCAAAAAGCTCTGTTATCCAGAACTACCATCCAGAATGCTCTCTTAACCGGAGGCATCCGTCACAGACGAGCAATACAAATTTTCCTCCACGTATCCAGGAATATTCCGGACAGGCATCTGGCATCTTGCCGCGGCGCTGCCCATGGATCTGTTATTTACGGGAGCTTCAGGACCCCTGCCGAGTGGTGACGTCCATGGTGCTGGCAGCAAATTTAACAAGTTGGTGCAATGTTTAGGAGCTAAATGTCAACGCACGCCACATTACGGCCTTGAGAGTCCTTCCATATTTAGTCGGTTCACTCGAAGGCCTCGTCCAAATCGGTTTCTGGGGTCCTTGATTAAATAGGGACTTTTTTTGGCATTCAGCATCTACCGATCATATCCGCATTCGAAATAACGACGTTCAATTGCCTAGACGATGGTTGTTTAAAAAGGTACCGCGAAAACGGGTAACAGGCAGCTAACCACGAGAAGGCTACCAACTCCCCCCCACCCATCCGGTCGCATCAAACATCTCCGCAATCCGCCCCCCGCGTGCCAGTCGAGCCGGCCGACACAGTCCGCGCGCTCATCCCAACCTCGGCGATGAGTTTTCCGAACGTCCGGCGTTCCAGTGCGTACTTCGTCGCCTCTTCCAGGGCTCTGCGAGCCAGCCCGACGGCACCGGCGGCCACCTGCAGGCACGGGCACGGCGTTAGTGGGGGACAGAGTCGAGAGGCCTCCTGTGCGTGCGCACACACACCAACCACCAGAGTGGTTGGTGTGTGTGTGCGCGCAAGCGCGCAGTGTATACTTTTGCCAAGTACATCGGCACGTGACTCCATCAAAAACAGCTCTGGTCGATTACACCTCCTGTACAGGTGTTCCTTACAGCCCAACGTATGGACAGGTGGCTCAGCAGTGGAGGGGATGGTTCGCAATCATAAGACAGAGATCCAAACCTGGTTTGGGTGCGCGGGGTTTGATTCGACGCCCTCATCCTCCCACAAGTAATCAAACGAGTACCACTTTGTGTTGAAGTTAATAGTGATTGTCCTACGGAGACCCCCCCCCCCCCCCACCCACCATAGGAATGTGGAACATCCACAACTGACTGAGGGCTGTAAAGCGATGAGCACCGATGCCCTCAATGCGTATTTGGGGCAGGCAAATCGCCTTCGCTTTTTTACCCACCCTAGCATGGAAATGGGCATCCGATTGAAGCTGGCTGGGAAGCTGATGAGTGAAGAAGTCGCTCGCCGGTGCCCATCAGAAATGTTCTAAAGCATCGCAACGTTTCTCCTCCCGCTTGTCGTACTGCAGCGCAAGAAACCTTAAACCCCTCATCGGTAAACGTCATCATTATTATTCAACTTCGCCCTCGATAGGTACACAAACAGGAACTTAGGTTAAACCCATTACGTCCCTTAATGTCATCGTTATTGCATACCCTTTCTTTAACTTCACTGTGTGTACATGTCACACACAGTGGCTGCAATGGCCACCGTTGTCTTTGTCAACACAGATAGGTAAAGGTCTCCCAGCTGATCCCAGCAGCCCTGAGCCGGTGGTGGTCCACATTCCCGTAGTGGGCACCAACCTCTCCATAACACAACTGTCGGCTTTGCACAAAACGTGATAGGCGTTTTAATGACCTCGATCAGGATGTGAACACATAACCTTCCAGTCACGCCGTGTGCTCTTAAACACTGCCAATTAATAGTCTCATGGCCATTACCTATCCACTGGTGCATTATGACTTGACAATGAAGATGAATGCCATTGCTCTGTGACAATGCACAATACCAAGTGGAGTGTATTCTTCTTCAATCGTATGGCTACTGATGTAGATGAAGCGCAGCTACAATCTTCACATTCGGGTGGTCAAGCCAGATTAACCGTGTCAGGAGCAGCCGGAGTAGTGCATCATCGCTGTCATGTCTCCTTCGCATTTGTGGACCGTGCTATTGTGCCATTATTCGGCACAAAGAGCTCAGAAGCGCGGGCGTCCAACTGCGAGGCTGACGACAATTGCACAACCGCGGAATGAGCACGTTTTGTACTTTTGCGATTGCTGCTGCCCATGCTCTACAATCTCTTTGACGATCCACCGACCGATCGTGGCACCCAGTACACAGGGTGAAGGCGCTCCGGGCTTCGAACCCTGGGGTGACTACCAGACTGTTGTCTGCACGGTGCCCAGCACTCTGGATTCCCGGCCCTCGGAGGTCATCGGTAAGGGCCCACTGAGCTATATAGCTCTTTTTCAGAAGCTACCTGGCTATAACAAACGATAGCTCAACAAAGTGGCTTATCATTGTGTGGAAGTGTATAGCAGCCAAAAACTCTAAACGCGTATTTGTAAACGTGGAGGGAAAAACGGAGGACCCGGAGTAAAATCCACGCGACCACGGGGAGAGAGATATGCAAGCTCCAAATAGATGTGTTAGGGTCGAAATCAGACCCACGACTTCCTGCACATCAGGTGAGGTAGTTAACATCTGGCCACCGTGGCGCCCAGTCAATGGAGTCGTGGCTGAACAGCCGTTGAACTGGGCCTCTCTCTCTCTAGCTCTTGATCTCGTCTCTTTAGACTTCTCCCCAGCAGCAACTTATTATCTTACATGCACGGCACATGTTGCAACTTTCTGACCCGCCCGTACTGGATACTTTTTTTTTAAAAAGAGCTTCATAGCTCATCGGATTTCTCCAAGGTAAAAATAAAGATTCTGATTCAGAGCCCCTCCTAAAACTAAATTAATATTCGTGTTCTAGTCAGGGGCGGAGCCAGGGGGGTTGACAGGGTAGACAATTGTCACCCCCGAAAAAATATGAAAAAATCGAAAATCTGAAACATTCTGCGTATAAGTGTACGACACTCGGTCTGGCGGACTCCGTGCAACTGCATTGTCAGAGTGTGTCGCCAACCGATGGCGTCTAGTTCAACAGCCTGACTCTCTAATTATCCTTGAAATTAACATTTGTTGAATGTCACCCCGGGCTGAAAATCCTGGCCCCGCCCCTGGTTCTAGTACAACATTATTTTTGTATTCATGCAGCCAATATGTGCGCAACGCAGGTGCATGAAATAACGGCTTCCATTCAGAAAAGCCCGAGTCTCGTCGAGTCGGAACTTTTTGGATTCAGACGTTTAAACAAATTGCAGAAGAACATGGGACGCCGGGGGAAGTCTCAAGACACACAAGGCAATGACACCCAGTCATCACGTGATGCCCAGGGGTTAATAGCCAAACCACGCACTTTGTCGCCCTCTTGTGGCCACGCCACTTACGAGCAGCCACCCCCACCCCTCCCCCCCGAAGGGTACGGACAAGCGCGTTTGAATGCACTGGGGATGTGTGTGTGTGTGCATCTGCGTGCGCTAACGAACCCAACGACCCGGGTTCGATTCCCGCTCACGGCCAACACCACTGACGATTATCTAAACCGGTCCAGGGCCACCCCTATGTCGACTCAGCCTCAAATGAGTACCTGGTGCAATGTGTAAACATCGCCGCTAGGGAGACAAAGGCGGCCGGGCGTGGTGCTGGCCACCCACCCATTCGTGTGCCGTGCCGGCCTTTATTAGGTGGTACTCGCTAATGGCACTTGCTTCAACAGTCTGTTATGGCTAAACGGGGGATCTCTGTCTTTGCAGGCGTACAGGGGGGCGCGTCTTGTCGAAAGCTCCCATGGCGATCTTGAAGCCGGCTCCCTCTCCGATCAGAACGTTCTCTTTGGGGACGACAACGTCCTCGAACGTGATCCCTCGGGTGTCAGAGCAGCGCTGGCCCATGTTCATCTCCTGTTCACGTCACAAGACACGCGCACACAAAGACAAAGATCTCCCGTGTAGCCTTAAGAGACTGTTGGGACAAGAACTGTCTACGAGCACCTATGAAGGTCGGCACGGCACACGAGGGGGTGGGTGGCCAACACCACGCCCGACCGCCTTTGTCTCCCCAGCGGCCATGTTTACACACCGCACCAGGTACTCATTTGAGGCCAAGTCGAGCGCGAGAAGGCCCAGGACTGGTTCCAATAATCGTCACTGGTGGTGGCCGTGAGCGAGAATCGAACTCAGGTCACCGGGATTGTATCGCAGTGCGGTAGCCGCTACACTACCGCTCCCCTCAGAAACACATAAATACACACGTACACACGCAGACAAATGCGCGGGCACACACAAAACACGCGCACAGAGGCAGGTAATGTCACTTTTACGGCCTAAGACCGAATGTGTACATGTGCAACGTTGCAAAAACGCACGAATAACTGTCCAGCCAGCAGTATACCTGGGTACAGCACAGTATTCATAGTTGTGCTATACACAGGGAGCTTGTGGTGGGATAAATTGTGGGTACTCCTACATCTCTCAACACATCTGCCAAGCGTGGCAGGGTGGGCAAAAACACTCTTAAGCTCCCTCGAGTAGAAGCCCTTCTGCCAGCTGTGACATGAGGAGGCATGTTGCAGGGCTGCCCCTTGACCTACTGTGGAATCTTGAAATGCGGTTGCAGGTAAGACAAAACGTGAATATAAATTGTTTTTGATAACAGGGTTTGAAAATACCAGGTGGAATGCTCACAATGCACAATCCAATGGAGGTGTCTGCCACAGATATACAACTTCAGAAGGCACCAGAGTTGATGATGATTAACTAGCCGGCAAATGAATTAGCGTAAAATAGACATCAAGACTCATGAACTCACATGGATTACACATGCGCAAAGTCAAACATATCACCATGTGATCTCTGTGGACACGTACGCAATCTGACACTCGCAAACACAGACACACACACACCTTTCTTCCTGGCACGACTCCTGGCGTGTCAGCATCCACAATGAACCCCGTGAAGGCCTTACTGGCTGGAACCTTGGGGTCTGTCTCGGTGCGCGTGAGAACAAAGTACCTGGACACACAAAGACATAAAAGACCTTTGTGGCAAGTGCTGTCAGCGAGCACCTATAAAGGCCGGCACATCACACGATGGGGTGGGTGGACAACACAATGCCCTTTGTCTCCGCAGTGGCGATGTTTACACACTGCACCAGGCACTCATTTGAGGCAGAGTCGACTTAGGGGAGGCCCAGGACCGGTTCAGATAGTCGTCACTGGTGTTGGCCGCGAGCGGGAATCGAACTTGGGTCGCCGGGTTCGTAACGCAGCGCTAACCGCTACACGTGCACTCCCCACCTCGACGGGCACGTGTGGGCACGGGCAAGGTCGCGTGGTAGTTAACATCTCATCACCAGAGCACACCTCATACATAACTTCGGCCTTAATGGGAAAGAAAACATCTACAGTCGGCAATGACTCTTCTTCACAGTACAGTAAAACCTTGGATTGTGAGCATAATTCGTTCCGGAAACGTGTTTGTAATCCAAAGCACTCGTATATCAGTTGTGATCACGTGACGCTCGGCAGACAAAGCGTATACGTACACTACTCGTATTGCAAGACCCTCGCCCGTTTATCAAGTTAATATTTATTTAAAAAATTTGCTCGTCTTGCAAAACACTCTCAGACCAAGTTACTCGCAATCCAAGGTTTTACTGTCTAGAGATATCGAGTTGTCTTTGGTGACATTCAAAAACAGATTTGTTGAGATTCGCCATAAAAATAAAAAACACGATCCGGCGCCCACCTCGCTGATCTCGTCAAGGCGCACAAATCATCACGCAAACTCCGGTCATCCTCGGGGCAGCAGCGTTTGGTGAGCCATCGAGCAAAGACGGTCACCGCATCGCGCTCTTTCAGATGCACGTCTGCGGCCGCCTCGAACACTCTTCCTTCCGATATTATCAAGCCACTGAAGTTATGCACTTTTAACTCATCTATATGGAAAACTAATTTCTTTAGAATTGCCGATTCTGATTTGTTATTCACGTCACATTAGCTGAAGAAACCCCATATTTGTATCTCTCCCATGCAGTGGACATTGACAGAGGACTGTATGGCAGTGAGAATGGGGGCAGTCGCCACACACTCCTCACATGGAACAGATCGTGGATTACTCCGGAACCACACATGCGGCTCCTGCACCCATTCATTGCGTTCGTTTACCCAGGAAAGCCTCAGACTTAAGACTTCTTCAGGAAGGCCTTGCCAAGTATTTTTCAGGAGGGGGGTATGATTGCTATGTCTAATCCCAATTGACTCATTTGCGGTAATTGTTTAAAATTTGCACCATGACGCCCAGCACCTCTGATTTCCCATGCCTCCAATTAGTACGGTTGGCTACGTATGTTGCAAAAGAAGTTCAACATACATATAGCACACAACGGCCCACTCATTTCAAATGACGTCACGGGATCTTCAAAGTCCACTGTGCAGCAGACGGCTCCTCTTTCATTGCGATCGCACCAGCAGTATTAACGAGGGCAGCCACTGCATTGGAACCGCGGACCTCTGCAACACGCAGCGAACATGGTGCCGCTCGGCTGTGACACCGTACAAACTCTCGCTTCTGCACACAAGACTTGGTCCGCCACCAAAGCACTCATGGCCACACACACACACTCCTGCACAACGTCACAAACCAGTTTGCCTTGCCACCATTGGTGATCCACATCTTTTGACCATTGATGACGTAAGTGTCTCCCTTCTTCACAGCACGAGTCTTAATTCCAGCCACGTCGGAGCCGGCTCCGGGCTCGGTCACTGCATAGGCCTGGAATGCAGACACACACACACACGCAGCACAGGGGCACAATGACAAATGTTATTTAACATCAGCACAGCTTCTGCAGCCAGCAGAACACCCTGTAGGTTACGACAATGTGGAAAAGGCTCACCACTCTATTCTTGCTTTTCACAATGTGTTCAGGAGCTAAATGCCAATGTCTGATAGTCACAGAAAGGCTTCAGTTGAGAATTCATGTAGTTTTGATTTTCCTCCTCTGCTGAAAGACGCAGAGCACTGAGCGGTTTACTTAATGGTCCATAGTTTGGGATTCATGGCTGCAATCGTACCGTGGCTCGTGTCTTTCATTCTCCATTCACGAAGGTGTGCGCATCGGCCTGTTGATGTAGTGTATGGTTACACCGCCGGTTTCTTTCCGAGGAGGAACGTCAAAGCCAGGAGGTGTGATGTTTGGGTCTGAAATGGAGGTGTTCATTCTGGAAGTCCACGTTGTTCCATTCTGTTCATGCGCTTCACTAACGGGCAGTCATGGAATTATTTACAGCTTCCAGCGACCGTGCATGTGCTATTAAAAGAGTTGGTACTGCCCTTCCACACACAATGAGCTTTCTCAGGCAATGAGTAGTGTTGTGGACACCCCCACTCTACACCCTGTAACTGGATCACTGCCGGTTGCACAGCAGCAGAACCAACCGCACACCTGCATTGGAACCAAATCTGAATGATGGGAATCCCCCAATATTACGCAACAGACAAAGCAAAATTAATCAGTTTATCGAACCCTAGTTTCCAAATTGACGGCAATTGTATGATTGGAGATGCACTCTTACGGAAACAAATTTAGCCCCAAGACAGGAATAAATTCACTCAAATATGCAGCGAACTTTTTTCATCCACATATTTCATGGAAAAAGTGATCAAATTAATAAAAAAACTCAAAATATGCCACGAAATAAAAAATACTGTACAGTACTTAAATCAAGAGGTAATTGCTTTACAATCTATTTCTGCTATCACTTGCACTTAATGGCCTCTTTCCAGACATCTTGCCTTACTTTAACTAAAGTCGAAGCGGTGAAACAGGGCAAATCCCTGCAGTCACTACAGTAGCGTGATCAACACAAAGGAACGAACCAGAACCAGCCGAGCTTGGGCGGAGCAGAGAGCAGTGGGCGAGATGTTAACTGCCTCGCCTGGTAAATAGGAGGTCGTGGGTTCAATCCCGACACCCCATCGCCTGCTACTGCTGTATATTTGGAGTTTGCATGTCTCTCTCTCTCATCATCATCACGGTGGCTAGGAGATGTTAACTGCCTCGCCTGGTGTACAGGAGGTCGTGGGCTTGATCCCGACACCCCATCGCCTGCTGCTGCTGCATATTTGGAGTTTGCATGTCTCTCTCTCTCTCTCATCATCATCATCACGGTGGCTAGATGTTAACTACCTCGCCTGGTATACAGGAGGTCGTGGGTTCGATCCCGACACCGAATTGCCTGCTGCAGTATATTTGGAGTTTGCGGTGTCTCTCCCTCTCTCATCATCATCATCACGGTAGCTAGGAGATGTTAACTGCATCGCCTGGTGTACAGGAGGTCGTGGGTTCGATCCCGACACCCCATCGCCTGCTGCTGCTGCATATTTGGAGTTTGCATGTCTCTCTCTCTCTCTCATCATCATCATCACGGTGGCTAGGACATGTTAACTACCTCGCCTGGTGTACAGGAGGTCGTGGGTTCGATCCCGACACCCCATCGCCTGCTGCTGCTGCATATTTGGAGTTTGCGTGTCTCTCTCTCTCTCATCATCATCACGGTGGCTAGGAGATGTTAACTACCTCGCCTGGTATACAGGAGGTCGTGGGTTCGATCCCGACACCCCATCGCCTGCTGCTGTATATTTGGAGTTTGCGGTGTTTCTCTCTCATCATCATCATCACGGTGGCTAGATGTTAACTACCTCGCCTGGTGTACAGGAGGTCGTGGGTTCGATCCCGACTGACGCCTGCTGCTGCTGTATATTTGGAGTTTGCGTGTCTCTCTCTCATAATCATCATCACGGTGGCTAGGAGATGTTAACTAACTCGCCTGGTATACAGGAGGTCGTGGGTTCAATCCAGACTGACGCCTGCTGCTGCTGTATATTTGGAGTTGGCGTGGACTCTTCTCCGGGTTCTGGTTTTCCCCTCCACATTTAGAGTCAACGTCACGCGTTTAGAGTATTTGGCTGCTATAAATCTCCACGTGATAAGCCACTTCGTTGAGCTATTATCTATGGCCAGGTCGCTTCTGAAAAATAGCTATATAGCTCAGTGGGGGGCCTTACCTGGGTAAATAAAAACGGTTTAGTTTAGTTAGAGCACGGGAACAGTGTGCCATGTAAAACACGTGGAGCAGAGTGAAATGCGCACGGGGTCAAACGACAGACCGCGCGTTGTTAAGATTTTAACCCACAAAATAGAGATTCAAATTTCCATGAACACGATGTTATCGGAAACGTATATATGTTATTCTTTCCCTAAATTCTAGGTTCGGTTATAGCTAAATTATGTATACCGAGTTGCCATACAACAAGGGATGACTGTACTGGGTCGTTAAGACACACCTGAAATTGTCTAACAATTGTTGATTAATAATTAGTGCGATAAACGCTGGTACACGTGACATTAATATGGTTTGTCTGTCAGGTGATAGATATTAACGACGCCAATTTTTGGTCAGAAATCTGTGGCCTTACCCAAAAATCTACTAGGAATCAAAATATTAACTGATGGAAGGTGCCCCAAGTTACCTTGTCCCGTCACTCTCCCTTGTCCACAGCCCACGCCATTTCCACTCAATCGAAGGTATAGATTTGTGTGGTAGTTGTTCTGAATGTATATAAGAATGCGTGTGTGTGTGCGCGGTGGTGAGCGGTAGTGGTTAGCCCACTGCACTACAAACCAGGCGACCTGGATTCGATTCCCGCTCACGGCCAAACACCAGTGACGATTATCTGAACCGGTCCTGGGCCTCCCCTAGGTCGACTCAGCCTCAAATGAGGACCTAGTGCAGTGTGTAAACATCGCCACGAGGGAGACGAAGGCGGTCGGGCGTGGTGCTGGCCACCCACCCCCTCGTGTACCATTTCGGCCTTCATAGGTGCTCGCTAACAGTATTTGCCCCAACAGTACAATTCAAGACTATGTGGGGGATTTTTGTCTGTTTGTTTTGTGCACGGTGGCGCAGTGGGTAGCTCACTGTGCTACGAATCTGGCAACCCGAGTTCAATTCTCGTCTACCACCGACTATCTGAAGCAGTCCTGGGGCTTCCCCTAGGCCAGGGGTGGGGAACGTCCGGCCCGCGGGCCGTAGAAGGCCCCCGAAGTAATTTGGTCTGGCCTTGCCAAGGCAACCGCAGGCGGGACTCGAAATTCAATAAATCTAGGAGCAAACCTGGAAAAGCAGTTGCGAGTAGCAGCAACATCATCAATACCAGCTAACATCATCGCATGCCTCGTCAAAGAGAAGCAGTTCCATCCATCACATTAGGGGTGAGTAAATTAAATGTTTGATCGAATATAACAGGCAAATTTTTAAGTTGATCATTTTGTATGGCCCGCGAATGATGTTATAAATATCCAAATGGCCCTTGCCAGAAAAAAGGTTCCCCACCTCTGCCCTAGGCCATCTCAGCCTTTGGACGAGTACCTTGTGCTGTGTGTAAATAATCACCACTGGGGAGACAAAGTCGGCTGGCTGTGGCGTTGGCCACAAACCCCTCGTGCCGCTCCAGCATTCATCGGTGCTCGTTAAACAGCACTTGCCCCCAACAGTCTGTCAGACGCCATAACGGTGAGATCTTTGTGTGTGTGTGTGTGCAGCGACGTACACACATGAGAGGCTCTTCTGTCATTCTGCCCAAGTACTTCTTCTGTTGAGCTGGATTTCCTGCCAAAATCACCGGCATTTGCTGCAAAGCAAAAAAAAAATTTACACACACGTACACGCAGGCAGACCATGAAACAGTAAATTATGAATACGCTTGTAGATTAAGAGGGCAATAATTGCACGCGCACTTATGTGCCTATAGATAGCGATTTTAATATGCCAGCACAGAGGGGAAATGCGTTCTCCAGCACTTTAACGAAATTTGCTGGTGTTAGAGAGTTGGATAATTAGTGTGACTTAAGTAATTAATTACGTACATAAAAGCTATGCAGAACACGGGCGCAATGGGGGTGGGCATGCATGGTTGCGGATTCATTTAAAGTGTGGCTTATGCACAAGCATGCGCGATGTTTGCCAGCATTGTTATTTTTTTGTTGAAGACGCACACATTTGATGCGAGCCCATGCACTCTGCGTACGTTTGCTCCGTTGAACGTGTACGTTTGTAGACGTGGCTTTAATTTTTCCATCACGCGCTTACATTTGCGTGCAGTTTCATTGGATATCTATCTCGACGAGGAAGGTTAGATAATGACGTTTCGATTGCCACACAAGCAATCGTCCTCAGGTGGGATGAGGACGATTGCTTGTGGTGATCGAAACATCGTGATCTATTATTATTTTTCTACGTGACTTTACCGAAAGAACCAGAGTATGGATTCCTGCAGTCACGAAAGCTTCAAATCAAGAGGTTGTGTGATATAACTGGCTTTAGTAAAGAAACCCTGGTGACGTGTTCATTTCCAGGCCATGCACGTGAATGGCCCGTGCATTTGAACATGCAATTGGGCCCTCCCTTAGGTCAACTCAGCCTTAATTGAAAAACCAGTGGCAGTGTGTCAACAGTACTGGGGAGGCAAAGGTGGCCCTGTGTGGGGTTCATGTTAACAGGTACTTCCTAATAGCATGTTCCCCTCTACAGTCTATAAAGATAAACAGGGAATCATTTGTCTTAGTTTGTGTGTATAGGTTATGTATGCAGAACTTCTTTCGCACCGTATGTAGCCAACCGTGCTAATCGGAGGTGTGGGGGAAGGACAAACTAAACACAAAATTGATTTTTAAAGAAATTAGTTGTCAAGTGGCTTCCAAATATCAGAAGGAACTGCGTTTCAGACGGTCGCAGAATCGCATCCGAAAGTACGTGATGACCGTCTTTGTTTTATGCTGTGGACCACAGCCATAGAACCTTTGGCTCGTCATCGAACAAAGACTGTCACTTTATCGGGCTCGTATATTTGGCATAACCCACAAGATTATCCGAGACACAACGCGTACATTGTGACTTCAGGTCACAAAGGATTACAACAGTGAGATTGGCACAAACACGCATTTCTCTCACCAATCCAGTTCACGCCTCCACAATTCACGCCCATAAACACAGAAACCTCCGCCCCCCCTCTCTCAAGGTCTGCGTGCCCTCGTGTCCAAGCAGTCCAAGGAAGCGTCGCGCCACCGAGCGGGCGTGCGTCTCCACGTACCCCGAGCGAGTTGGCCTCGATGGCCGTCTGCACGCCCGTGCAGCCGAACGCCAACTCCTCTGTGACGACGCAGGCATCGAAAATCCCCAACTCTGGCCCTCCTACGATGCACGCAAACACAGCGGTCATGCACAACTCATGTCACCACGACGAGCAAGGCGAAGACCTCGACTTCAGAAATCCTCTTGGCAATTGCCGCTTGCGAGCACACGAGGGTGGGTGCGGTGAGCATCAAAGACAAATATTCCCCCCTGTGTTGCGTTACCAGACTGTTGGGGGGTAAGTGCTACAAGCGAGCACCTATGAAGGCCGGCACGGCACACGAAGGGGGCGGGTGACGAGCACCGCGCCTGGCAGCCTTTGTCTCCCCAGTGGCGGTTTAGTACACGCCACACCCGGTACTAATTTGAGCCCAAGTGGACCTAGGGGAGGCCCAGGACCGGTTCAGATAATAGTCACGGGTGTTGGCCGTGAACGGGAATCTAACTCGGGTCACCGGGTTCGTAGCGCAGTGTGCCAACCGCTTCCCAGACCGTAACACCCAGTCAGTGATTTCCTGCTGAAATGATCATCGCGGCATCGGTGCTCATCGCCTGTTCACAGCACCGAGCCAGTGGCGAGTCTATCCAGAGAACAACGGCTGACTTCCCCACAAAGTGGTCATCATTTTATTAACCTCGGGAGGGATTCTGCTAACTAAACCCCAACCTGGATGAGAACTCGCATTTTTACGATTTTAAACCGCTCACTCTGACGCCGAGCCACCTGTCCGGTCACGCACGTGGAAATAAATCCTTACACTCATGACACAAGCATTGCATTGTACGAGTCGGCATCAAGCAAATATCACGGTGGCGAGATGTTAACCACCTCGCCTGGTATACAGGAGGTTGTGGATTTAATCCAGACCCTGACGCCTGTGTATGTGGAGTTTGCATGTTCTTCCCCCGTGGATGCGTGGATTTTTCTCCAGCTCCCTCAGTTTTTCACTCCACAGTTAAAATCAAAATGTTTAGAGTATTTGCCTGCAATAAATTTTCACGTGATAAGCCACTTCGTTGAGCTATAATTTGTGGCCAAATGTTATCTCTGAAAATGAGCTGTATAGCTCAGTAGGCCTTACTTGGTAAAATGATAAAGTTCTAATAATTGAATCAGCAGTCATCGGCACTTCGTCTTCATTCCACAAAGGACTCCTCACAAAGCCCAGTCAACCTTCGTGCTTCGACTATCAATGTCTGGAATTATCTTTCATTTCTCTTTCATTTGAGGGAGGTGCAGTTGAGACTCAGATGCTTGGCACAAATGAACCACAATGCTTTGCTGATCGTCAAGGAACATAGACCATCACGCCAACTCCGCATCGCGTACTTTCAGATGCACTTCTGCGGCCATCTGGAAGGCACTTCCTTCGATATTAGGAAGCCACTGGAGCTATGCACTTTTAAATAATCTAGATTGACACTCATTTATTTAGAAATTATTTTTATGTTTAGTTTGTTGTCCTTCCTCCCCACACCTCCGTTTAGCACGGTTGGCTAAGTACGGTGCAAAATAAGTTCAATATACACGCGACTAACAAACGTACTCAATTACAATTAACTCTTTTGTCGACATTGTATTGCCTTTCGTTTGTCCACGCTGTTGCCTGTTAAGTCCGCACACTAGCGGAGCCAGTGGGGGGGGGGGGTGGCACGTGACCCCCCCAATGATCCAATCGAATCCTAATTTCGATCGGATCATTGGGGTTTATTAGTAATAAATCGGCATTTTGCGACCCCCACTGCCACTGTGTAGCATATTATTACGTGCCAGGGACTCTATGAGATGATAGGACAATAGTCCGAGTCCATAACTGGCAATAAGTAACGGCAAAGCAGTTATAAGTGACTCGCAGAATTGTGCGCAGTTGCGTATACAGGACACGACTTCCCTGAAGGCATTCACCTTCAGCGAGCGCGATGCCGATCACACAACGCGGTTCGAATTTGACCCTCGATCGATGGCCGAGCCATCGCTGCACACGCGTCGAATAAAAAGCAAGGGACAAGTCCTTACTTACTAACAACTCCTCTATCATTTTTCATTGCTGGAGGGGTTGCCCCCCCGACGTGAAAATCCTGGCTCCGTCATTGAGTCCGCACCACATTGCCCACTCACCTGCACCACGTCAACGTATCATTCGTATAAAAATGGTGCCTCCAATATAAATGATTATTAATAACTAGCTAGTTAGCCCGTCCTAGGACGGAAGTTGTAATATTAAACATGTCAATTAACTTTCGATTTAAAGCTTTCGTGACTGCAATGATTCATCTTCTTTGGTTCTTTCGGTAAAGTCACGTAGAATGAGAATAAAATAATAAATTGATAAAATAAAATAACAATATTCTCACGACGTTTCGGCCACAACACAAGCGGCCTTCATCAGGTGAAGGGACGAGACTGTCTGGTAGGACAGCGCTGGAGTGTCCTACCAGACAGTCTCGTCCCTTCACCTGATGAAGGCCGCTTGTGTTGTGGCCGAAACGTCGTGAGAATATTATTGTGTTATTTTATTTTATCAATTTATTATTTTATTCTCATTCTACGTGACTTTACCGAAAGAACCAAAGAAGATGTCAATTAACGTTTTATTGTGATTGTAAATTACGTAAAATTCGAAAGCGAACTTTCATAGCCGCACGATCTTCTGCGTTCATCTAAAAATGCAGGCACACATTAATAATAATGAGGGCGCATGTGGAGTGACGTCAAGCGCGGGACACACACAGCCTTTTCTGGCTCGTTATATTAGTTGCTGCGTTTATTTCTCTATGAGCTGTACTGTCCATAAAGAAAGGTGAAAATGAAAGCTAAATTGCGTAAACAAATTTTCGTTTCAGCTCCACCTTCTTCATGCGGAGTGACGTCACCCGTTCATGATTATTAATGACGGGGGGGGGGGGTCCATGTGGAAGACCCCCACCTGTTCATGATTAATGCGGGGGGGGGGGGCTGGTCGTCGTGGAGTGACGTCACGTGCGTTACACACAGACATTTTTGGCTCATTATATTAGTCAATTGATTCTTGGGCAAGCAATTCAACAAGTTTCTCGTTCGAGTCAAAAAGTGAAATTCAGCCACGCAGGGTTCCAGCCTTAGCTGCAAATGCCACGGTGGTGTCAACTACAGTAAATCTCAATTGTACAGAATCGGTGGAGCGTCTGGAGCGTCATTCATCTTGAGCCATCGCTGTTATTTATAGGGCTTACCACAATGCTCAGGGATATGAGTGTTCATCAGTCCAAGCTCCCAAGCCTTCTTGATGATGGAAACTGGGTACTGTATGCAGTCAGACAAGGGCAGGAACATACGCACAGGTTCAAAATGCAAGGTCACACGAACACGTATGTGTGTGTATATGTTTAGTTATGTGCTCCACTACCAAGCCGGATTCTCGAGTTCGATTCTGGCTCACGGCCAATACCAGTGACGATTATATCTGAACCAGTCCTGGGTCTTGCCTCAAACGAGCACCTGGTTCAATGTGTTAACATCGCCACTAGGGAGACAAAGGCACCCGGATGTGGTTCTGGTTACCCACCCCATCGTGTGCCGTGCCGGCCTTGATAGGTGCTCGCTAACAGCACTCGTCCCAAAAGTCTATTCAGTCTACACAGGGGATATTTTGTCGTGTAGTTATGCGCCTGCAAACACCGAATTCGGACAAAAAACAAGGCAGCTCTGCAGCACAGCTGAGGACATTTCTGCAACTACTCAGAGCATCGTTGCCATGTTAATTTAGTTTGGCCATCAGATCATTTTGCATTGACAATAAATCACAAGAATCTGAAACAGTCTGATGAGACTTGGCAGAAATATTATTCGGGTCCAGCTATCGCGATTAACTATGGCATTATGGTAATTTGTTCTACTACAGGAATAATAATAACTGCAATCACAGCTATAAAAAATAATTAACTACCAGAGTAACCAATCCTATAGCAATCAATTAATACAGTAAAGCTATAATCACACTATGTATACTGTATCTATAATTACACTGTAATGGGCCTGCACAAACTTTGATCAATGTTTACATCTCTGCAGTGGACTTACAGCACACCTGCGGAATGCTATTAAAAACACGTTTAAAAACTTCGCAAAGTTAGCAAAAATAACACGTAAATAATCTTACCACTTGACACATTTGGCTAAATGGACTGAATATATTTTCTTGAGATTATAAAAAAAAATATTAACCTTACTTATTAGAACCAATTAAATTGTATCGAGATACATGCCAATACCAAAACTAAACAGTAACACTTTCCCCTGCTTGGAAATTTCTACCACTGATGAAAGCATGCATATGCAATTATAGTAGAACCCCTCTTAACGACCACCCCTGTTAACAAACGAATCGCTTAACGACGGGCCTCCATGGAGCCCAATGTGTTCCCTTACCGACCATTCCCCTGTTAACGACGGGCTGTTGTAGGTACAGTAAATAGTAATTAATGCATCAATTAAGCATGTTTCTTTTAATATTGTCTTTATAATGTTGTTGGTATCTTCATGGATTAATATCCATTATTTAAAGTAAGGGTAACTTTCGAAGAGAAAACAAAGAGTTCACTTTCGATGTTATCGGAACGAAATGCGTGTATTTCCTCTACTTGCTTAACGACCAGCTCACCTAACGACCGGTTTGGTGGAACCAATTATCATCGTTAAAGAGGGATTCTTCTGTAGCATTTTATTGGAAATTAGCAGCCAACCCTCTCAGGAGGCAACCAGAAGTACTCAATCAGTTCTCGTTTTGTAGACGTGCACGGTTCTTTTTAAATGGTGAAGTCTTAACATTTCATATCCACTTTTTTCACACGTAAAATGATAATTGTACGTATAATCTGGTGATGCTAGTATTGGTAGTGGTGCACATGCACAAACAACAACCTCACATTTGTAAACAACACCGTGGCCTTGAAATGTGAAAGTACAGTAGTCTCTCGATAATCTAAAATCCCGGATGATCCACAAATATCCGTTTCCCGTGAATCTTTATGCCAAAAACCACTAATGTAGGTAAAAATTATGTTTAACTTAAGAAACGTTAGTTTGTTAATGATTGCTACCCATTCGATTTAGAACGAATACTAAAAAGATGACCGAATACTAAAGATGGCTGATCGATGCACGTGCTCAGTGATAACACTTTCCTGCTGCCCTGCAGGAAAGTGTCACAGCAGCAGAGCCACGCAAAATCAACATCAATAAAACTCCATCCAGTGTTGTAAAGAAATGCAACGTGGATTCTGGATTAACCAGCACATATTTGTTCGGTTTAAGCACGTGACTTGTATTAAATATTTTAAAGAATAATCTATTACTGTTTTTAGATTATGTATCGGGGCTTAAGGGAAAATTCACGAGTTATTCATTCATGTCAAAATCTCAGGTGCAAATCGGATAAACCGCACGAGGATAATCGAGAGACCACTGTATACAGTAGGCAACATTTCAGGCAATATCCGTTCTTTGTAGCACAAAGAAATAAAAAAATGTTGCCGAGTCTATATTTTTCCTTCAAAGGCCAGTGTTCCTGACAAATGCATTGAGTTTTCTGTGAATTGGACATATAGATAAAGACAAAGGCATTCGATTTAAGCTGGAAGAACAACACCATGAGCGATGAATCTCTTGTTTACAGGTGTCTCGCTCAAGCTGGGGCCAGCGATAGTGGGCAATTGCAGATGAAAAGTTACATCGACAGACAGATTAAACAAACACAAACTCATCTATACATAAACGTGAGCCAAACAACAGAATTTAGATTAAAATAACAGCAATAGTTAATGATACAATTGTTATAAATATTATGCCACTTGTGAGCTCGTCTGTGTGTGTGTGTGCAAAGACATGCCTACTTGTGTTAATGTGGATGTTGTGTGTAAAATTGTTAATGTGCCTATGCATACCTCTCCTGTACGGTCTAAATTTGCTGCAACTGGAATAATCTCTTCAGCCGCAAATTTCCGAGCCATTAACTGGAACTCCTTCTGTTGATCCGTAAGTTCTGGAAATGCGTGGGGACACGGGCAGGCAGAGACATACGCACACATTATAGTGACGGCACATGGCTGCATAGACGTGTGGCATGGCAATCGCAGCTGCCAGTGGCGGTGACCATCACCTCAGCGCCTGTGCTAGGCAATGTGCTCTTTGAGGTCACCCCCGTGAAATTGTCGAAGGCTCACCTCACATGAGGTCACGGGACAGACCCAGGGTGTTATGGGTGAACTACTGAGATCACTGACAGATGCATCACGTGTGCTCCCCATTACGCCAGCTTACTGCATTTAGCCACACAGCGCTCTGTTTTTGTAAGCATTGCTCCTCTGCCCTCTGTTCTTGTTAGAGGATGACTGCCCCATAGTGTCCTTCACAATCCTCCTCTAGAGGCCGATCTTGGTACCAGTCATTGGCGAGTCCAATCAACTTCACATCCCCCTGTACGACTTCTGCCCATCATTTCCCTATCCGGTGCCACGCCCATTTAGCACCCTCTTATCCCGGCTAAACAGAAGCTGCTTCGGCATGTGGTGCCTGGGTATGCGGCCTACGTGACCCAGCCAACGCAGCCTCATCTGCCGGAAAAGCTCACCGATGGGACTGTGTCTAGACCTTTCAAGGATCTGTGAACTCGCACAATTCAGCCTGGTTAAACCCAGGATGAATTGTAGGCAGGCAAGTTTGAATGTTTCAAACTGGCACAGATTGTTCCTTTACACGTTTTACAAGCATAGAGAACTGTAGCCGAGAATACCTGAAGCTTCATTTGCAGCGAGAAGCCAGATAACATCCAAAAAGCGTTATGCAGCTGATTTGGAGACCTTTGCTGCCAAACCAAAACTGGTCATAAGCACACATCCCAGGTATGGGAACTCTTTCATTCTCTTCACAACTGCCCTATTACTCATGTGGAATTAAGGGGGTGGAGTGTTTGACAACACAAAATACCCAGGCAGGTGCTTTGTTAAGGTGGGGCGGGTCTAGAATTAGGAAATTAGTATATACATTTAGTAACTCGTGAATACGTGAATACAGAACTCGCGCTGAACTCCAGTAATCCATAAGTGTACGTCGTGCCAGACCACCAACATCGGGGAGGTGCGTGCAGAATTTTACATCTGAAACCGTCTGCGAAGATTAAGCACGCCCGCTCGGCTGCCCGCTTACTCCTCCCTCTCGCATTAATCTCTCTCTGACCTTGCTCGTTGTGCATTTTTACTTTACACGTACTTACAGTTGACTCGTTTACACGTTTTGGTATAAACGAGCCGACTGTGAGGTCCATTCAAGAGAACGCGAATGCAATCAGGGAAAGTGTTGCGGCTAGCACTCCTCAGTGATACATAACAACTGTGCGGCGTTGTTATCAAACGCCTGCATCTCCTGAGGAGTCCGCCTCCTGAATTCCTCACCATCACCACCACCTCCTTTGTCGTCAAATCATCATCATGAAAGGTAATAAAAAAACACATTGATCTTTCAAATTACATTATTTATTTATTGTAGTAATTGTTATTAAACTTTAACCATTTCCCCCCTATGTGCACTCGTACCAGGAACGTAACGCCCATTTTTCCCAATGGAACGAGGTTTCTGCATTCGCGAGCATTTCCAAGAACGTAACCCTCGCTGACAAGAGGGTTTTACTGCGTTGAGTTTTTCCAGAAAAAAAACAAAATACATCATTATTATTACTACTACTACGTCTAAGTAGTGTGGAGAGAGTATGTAGACAGCACAAAGTCACTGACAAGTGAACTAAGGAGCAATGAGAGAGACTGGTAAAGTGATAACATCCGCTTAACGACTCAGCAGAACCAATCAATCCCGAGACGTGTCTCACCAAAGTTGAAGCCGGAGGCCAGTGCTGAAGAGGCCGTGGAAGGCGCATGGGCCGAAGAGTAGGGCCGCACCTGGAGGCCACACTGCAGGCCATTCCTCACCGTCTGCGTGCGCACAAAAACAAAGATCCCCGGCATAGCCTTTAACAGACTGAGGTAAGTGCTGTTAGCAAACACTTATGAAGGCTGGCATGGTACACGAGGGGGTGGGTAGCCAGAATCACACCCGACCGCCTTTATCTCCCCAGTGGCGATGTTTTTACACATCACACCAGATACTGATTTGAGGCCGAGTCGACCTAGGCGAGGCCCAGGACTAGTTCAGATATTCGTCACCGGTTTTGGCTGTGAGCGAGCATCAAACTCAGGTCGCCGGGTTCGGAGCGCAGCGCGCTAACCGCGCCTTACATAGGCACACAACCACAAGGCTGCGTTTCACGAAAATCTGTACATGTAGCGCTGTGGCATAGCGCTCAACTCGCAGGGAGTCAAAGCTTGCCCATCATCGCCAATGGATTGATAAAAATACTTGATCAATTTGTGGAACGTCAATAGTGGCTGTCCTACAGAGGGGATTGGTCCACTCCCACCAAAACATTGAGTTTTACCTCCGTCTCAGGGCCACCTAAGTATGGGCACCGTCTCCCAGTGTATGTCTGAGCATGCCGACTCTTTAAATATGACACTGCTGATCCGTACATCATCTGCAGATGTGTTACTTTGGCCAAGAGGTCTGTGCAAATAATGTAAATTGCAGACATAACAAAGTTGGAAGGGAATGGTGGGGGGCTCCGATAGACTGAATACCCCCCACAAATAGGCGATATGTTTCATTAGATCTAACCCATCAAATCAAAACAACCAGGTCTAAACACATCAGACAGGCAGGCCCTTGCGCAAAGGTGATGGTGCATTACCAGCATCTCACAGCCACGGGGAAATGTACATCTGTTGTGTGCTCAGTTAGGCTTCCCAAGTGGCGGCGCAGCTTCTGAAAGATGTGTAATCACGCGTAAACACGTTCATTGGGAATACATGATCTGAATGGACCCATCCCATTTTAATTTAACGGAGCCGCTAATTGGATTAGAAAGGAACAGAATCACATGCGTGAGCAACTGACAAATATTATTTACGAACAAATAAGCGTACTGTTCATTCAGTACAAAAGTACAATGTATTCATGAACGTTTTATTATGAACTAAAATTTGAATACGGGAGACCCTTGAATATGACACGGGTGCATCGTTCTTTGAAACTATAGCGGGCAACCTCTGCACACCAATTTAGCTACTATAGCGGGGGTTAGTTTTGACCTTTCGCGGGTATACTGTACCCAGAAGTACTTTATCATTGGCTGATACTGTGGTGAGGGGCGGGCAATGGACGCGAGGCAGTCAGTCGCACCTCAACCTTTGCCATGCAAGCATATCGTAGATAAAAGTCATCACTTGCCACTGATGTTATCCATGGTTAGGAATTGAACTTGGTTCGCCAGATTAATAGCGCAGTACACTCACTGCTTCACCACCAATACCTATCAACTTAACGCTGGGAATAATTTTACAATGAACATTAATGTTTAAATAGCACAACTCATCAATTAATAATACAATTATCAGATTAAGTATTACTTGAAATCCAACTTAACCCACAAAACAAATATTTATCAGTTTGAGAACAGGATCTAATCCGACATGTCACGACCTTGACCTCATGTGTATCCGAGTAAATATCATTTCGGTTGGGGTAAGATGCCCCCCGAATACAGAAAAGTGTTCTTCCGATATCAGGAAGCGACTGGAGCCATGTACTTTTAAATTCAATAGGTGACTCATTTCATTAGAACTGCTTTTTGTGTTTGGTTTTGTTGTCCTTCGCCCGCACCTCTGATTGGCACGGTTGGCTACGTACGTTGCAAACAAAGTGCAACATACAACACATACATACACCAGCCTCTAACACATGACAGACAGCATTGGTGATGCGGAACGGCATCCAAAGTAGGGTTCTCGCCAGAGGACGACCTCTACACAAAGCAGATGGAGCAGCTCGGCGTAGAGGTGAGACTGCAGCATCACAAGAGCGAAAAGGGCTGGTGTCAACATAAATAGGAGGCCTTCATCTAGCAGTGGATAGATCGTGGCGGATGATGAAAATACCTTAATTGTGCACACAAAAAAACGTATATTTGTATACACGCTATAAACCGCCACGAAAACTCAACGGAGCGCCGTAGCAGCGGTGTGCCATGAGTGAAAACACCTCAAATGTTTGGCCTTCCAGGGTATTCTGCTCAAATTTACAATTAAATAAGTAATATTAATTTAAAAAAACACGCTTTAATGAAATGTACCGTACTAGTAATGGAAAAACTTCACGAAGTGGCCCCGAAGCTCGCCATAACGTAAGGGGCCGTGGTCAATTACAACCAACATCAGTTGACAGTGGACAATTAGACCCAAGCCGAAACATAACATATAAAAAATAATGTTTAAAAATATATATTTTTAATGATAGAATACAGTATTGTCATCAGTATGACATAAGTATACCAGGTTTGCAGTCGATACCGCATTGGGAAGTGGGTAAAAATTCAGTTGCAAGATTTGAGGATACAACGACAGAGCGAGTTAATAAAAAGCGTGTAAAAAAATATACCGATCTCCTTCAGGCCTGATGTTAATCAGCGATCAGATCGACATCACCTACAGACGGAGTATTCTCTGCCTGGCAGGTGTATGGAGTTGGGGGGGGGGCATGCTGATGGTAGGAACGCATCCGAGAACTGATCGGCAATTCTCTCTTGCCACGTCGTCGATAGAGGCGCGACTGGAGAAAGTGGCTTTTGGCGTCGCGCCACTTCGCAAGGGCGTCCTTGCTAAGTGTATTTTTAACCCGGGTGCATGTCCAGGGAGAGACGGAAATGTGTCAAGGTTCAACGCAGTCAATGTGCGGCACCCCACTCACTACCTGCGCTGTGCCAAAGTGCAACGTAAGACACAGACAGAGATCCCCCCGTGCAGCTTTAACAGACTGTTTGGGGCAAGCGACGTTGGCGCGAGCGCCTATGAAGGGCCCGCACCGCACACGAAGGCGCGGGGTGGCCAACACCACACGCCCGGCCGCCTTCGTCTCCCGAGCGGCGATGTTTTACACACCACACCAGTTGACCTAATTGGAAAGCCCAGCGCCGGTCCAAATGTGTGCGGGAATCGAACTCGGGTCGCCGGTTTCGCAGCGCGGTGCGCTAACCATTGCGCCACCGCTCCAGAGCACCACCGGTCACTCCCGGTGACAACCACCGGTCACTGGTGAAGCGGACACCGACGGCAAAGTGCTCTGCCACGTGTTAGCACGGCAGATAGCCACACGAGCGTGCGCTCACTACCAGCGTGTCCCATCGATCGCGACTGCAATTGCACCAAAAATAAAACTATTCGTTATTTGACCAGGTAAAAGCCCTACCGAGCAACGTGGCTCTTCCAGAAGCGACCTGGCAATCAAAAAACGACGATAAGCTCACCGAAGCGGGCTTATCACGTGGGCATTTACAGCAGCCAAAACTCTAAACGCGTGATGTGGATTCTAAATTTGGAGGGGGGAGAACCGGCAGAAGAGTTCCACGCGACCACACGGGGAGATAAAGCACGCAAACTCTAAACAAACAGCTGCCGTCAGGGTCGAGATGGAACCCGCGACCACCGTGGGTCCCCCCCCCCTATACGTGCGCAGGTTTGACCAATTCATTTAATTACCAACCACTAAAGGGGACATCGACATTGTTGCTAAGATTGCAAAAACACGCTCCCTTGCAGGGTCACGATCAGCTTCCAGGCGGTCGCGTTGATGTTGTTGTTGTTGTGACCAGCGCCGTCCAGACTTCACGACCATTGCTCGCAGCAAGACAAACAACTGCAGCAGCTGCCTCCACCACCGTCAAACTCGCGTCACGTTATCACCGTCACGGACGGCACTGTTGTATAGAGTGCACCACCAGTGCACCACCAGCAACACGGTACGGCACTGATATCGTGCACGGACGTTTGTACGTGAACACGCGGCACCCAGTACTGTAACCAGTACCACGAGTACGTGTACACACACACACAGGGCACTACCACGAGTACGTGTACACACACAGGGCACTACCACGTGTACACACATACAGGGCACTACCACGAGTACGTGTACACACACACGGCACTACCACGAGTACGTGTACACACACACGGCACTACCACGTGTATACACACAGGGCACTACCACGTGTACACACGCTGCACTACCACGAGTACGTGTACACACACACAAAGAGTACTACCACTAATACGTGAACACGGGGCTAACACCGCCAAGTAACACACGGTCACCCAAGGAAGTCCCAAAGGGCGACCACCGCTCGCTGCAGCCTCAAATGCCCTGGACTCCGCCGTGTTGGGGCGCGGGTGGCGGCGTCGCAACGCCCGCGAGGGGTTCGCACGAGCGAGGGGTTCGTCGTCGTCGTCGCCTTCGTGGTAAAACGCAACAACAGCGCGAGTCGCCCTCACCTTGGCGATTCGAGCAGTCACACACGCAGCTGCCATCTTGCCTTCGAGCGTCTCTGCGTTACGACAAAGCCCCACCCCCAAGTATTTATACCGCCCCTCCCCCCCCAGCGAAAGCCGTGGGCGGGGGGGGGGCTCGCTACAACCAATCACGAAAAGGCGATAATCTGGCACGCGCACGCCCCCCTGGCTCCCTAGCCAATCGCATAAGGGCGGACCCCCCCCCCCACTACACTCCACCCCCCCTACACCCCACACCTACACCCCACCCACATCTCGGTAACAAACAACAACATTCCTGGTTCTTTCGGTAAAGTCACGTAGAAGGGAAACAATAAAATAATAAAAATATATAAAACAATACAATTGTCACGACGTTTCGACTGCAACACAAGCAATCATCATCAAGTGTTAAAACCACAGCAAGACATTTAGAAAAAAAAGTGGCGTTTTTTTAACGTTAGCACCACGGAGAGCGATTTGGCAGTTATTCAGATGGACGTGTCCATCTATGTTCGGAAAAGAGGAGGGGGGGAGACGAAAATAATGGATGCGGTCTGAGAGCCACCTTAAGCGTGAACAATCAATTAAGACCCGAAATGGTTTATCAAATTATTGCTAAGCCAGAATCTATCTTCTCGGTTGAAATTGTCTCTGTGTTTGTATATGTGGATAGCCTCATGAACGAATCTCTCATGGTAGCCAGATGGCTTGCAAAGAACCTCTGTCTTGGAGAATTTGGCCCGTGGGGAGTTACTTTACCATGCAAGTAAACATATGCTACAGGCCCCGCACTAGCTTAATCCGGCACTGGGTATGGGGGTTGGTGAAGATACCTCCCACGGGCCAAATGCACCACGACCACGTGGCATTGTGGCAGTGCCCGGCGCTGGCTAAGTGCAGGGCGCGGTTGGCCCCAAATGCGTTCTGCCGTAGCCCCCGGGAAAACTTGGCTCAGGCTCCGTTACCGTGGAGTCTGGAAATCCCTTCCACCACCCCCTGGGGTGCGAGATTATCGAAAACACAAATTAAGCACCGGCACGAAAGAACAACGACGTTTTTTTCACCAAACCCTACGTATGTATTAGCATTATGCATTTTTAACGATTCAGAACCAAAGGCTAAGAACCACTGTTCTACACCTTTTCAGATCCATGGTCAAAATATATATAATGTCTCCTGCTCTCTACAACTGCTTGAACTACGGTTGCATTTACACACATCCAAATTGTGTTGTATACGATGGGAATTCGTTCCGTCAGCGTGGATTTGGCGGGAGTGGCATTGACCTCGTGAAAAAAAAAACACTCCCAACGCGATGTACAGTACTTGGTTTTTAGATATTAATTGAAGACCATTGTGACGTCATAACGTTCATTTGATTGTGGGGAGATTATTGCAAAGCTGCCGACAACGCCGCACAGAGTTAAAGCCGTAACTTTAACCCTTTTTTCGTTCTAAGTTAAGTTGCAAGTAGTCTGGCTAGGCCGCCTGTCCTCGTTTTCACAGGATCGTCCTCTGCAAGGTCTTCCCGGTGACATCGTGTCCCTGGTTTTTTGCCGGTTTACGCAATTATAACAATGTTGCACCATCCAATACAATGTTGTCCCCTCTGCCGACATTGAGGCGTTCTTCTTTCCACAAAAATATGTCCCGGTGTTTTGTACCAGGGGTTTGCGGCAAACCCTACCTTGAAGCCGGTCAGCGTGAAACGCGACCGAATGATGTGAAAAGCAACGCAGCGCGCAGCTAATTACGCTGCGTGTGCGGTTGTGAACTTTCGCGACCGCTGCCGCCTCGTCCCGGCAGTCGCCCGAATGAGATGAACGAGGCAGCTCGCTCGTTATCGGCTTTGCTCGTCTTCGCGTCGCCCTGCTCACTCCGCCGTGGGGCCTCCAGGCGCTCGCAGCAGCACGATGGCCTTTAAACAATTGGCCATTCTCTTACAGCCACCGGGTCGGGTAACATTCGACCATCATTTAATCTCGGCTTGAATCACTTCAGACGCGCTCTTCAATCCAAGATACACCAGCCCCCCTCTTTGCAGGAGGAAAGATACAAGTTGATGAAGTTTGATTTAGCTAAATTGCCTGTGCAATTAAAATAACCTGCTCCAATGGGACTTGAGGCGGTGGCAATTTCAGAATCAGAATACTTTGTGTATCTATACTGGAGGAATCCGATTAGCTGTTTTTCAGAGGGCAAGCACTGTTATCCTTCCCACAAAGTGGTACTCGTTTTTATCAACCCCAGAGGAATCATGGGCTGGGTCGACGCCACAGCCAGGATGTGAACTTGTTACATTCTGATTTCGAGCCACTTGCGCTATCACGGAGTCACGTGGCAAGTTGCGTTTCTTAAACATGTTTGAAATTACAATCCTCCCCAAGGGAGTACTTCGTTTTTGTGACGTTTTTAGTGACGACCGCTATAATAAAAACTGCTTGATGCCCTGCCGTGTGAAATGGGTTCCTGGTAAATCGAGAGCAAGAGAGAGGGCGCTTTCCATTCTCTCCACTCGCTCGATCATAAGATAGCCACGGCTGCACTGCGTGTGCCCGCGGCCACACACCCAAGAATGACCTCGCGTGAGCTCTCGGGCAATCGTTTTCGTAAAAAATATATCTCGTACACCAGATTGCGTTAACTCAGCAGTAACTCAGCCGAGCATTGCTTCACTCCATTCCCCCATCAATCCTCAACGCCACAATTCCCAAGCATATCAGGCAAGCCAGAGCATCCTTCCCTGCACAGGCGAGCAATGTGATGCTTCTGAGATATTTCGAAATGAAAGGCGCTTTATAAAATAGAGGTTGTTATTATGATATTGTGGTGTTGCTCACTTCTGCTGGTGGCCGAGCCAGCGGTGGAAAATTCCACGTTCCCATAACAAGGGCCAATTGCTCAACATGAGAGCCACTGTTGTTCACACAGTGGTAGTATTATTATTGCGTTTTATGCGAGAGGGATTACTGAGTCAACTCACAGACTGGGATTTGTATCTCCTGCAATAGTGAGTCCGTCGCTCAGGCACAGCGTGACCAAGCCAGGTTTATTGTCCAAAAACAAATATTCCAAAAGAAAGCGTGTCGTTCTGAAAAATTGTTACACAATCTCCCAACTTCATTCACGCAAGATGATCAATTTTGAAAATGTACAAAGTGTTGCCCTGGTAAAATGCAATTAAGTCCCTAAATTAATTACATCCGTGAGTCATTGACGCTTTGCTGATGAGATTGACTTGCTGTAGTTGTGTGACAGTCGGTTTCCCACTGTTTCACACTTTCAATTAATGCATTAGTAGCACTTCTGCTCTGAAACTGTAGAGAAAGCAATAAATTTGAAATGCCTTAAAAAAATCTCTTTTGCACTTGAATTAACTGGTTATACCGACACATACTGACCTAAATTATTACTGAGAAGTATCCGACACCCATTATCCCGTATAATCCAGTTACGCGTGAACACAGCCAAACAACAAAGGTCCTTTTCAGGGCGAAACTTACCGCAGTGTGGGGCCGTCATTACGTTTGCACAATCTGAATGTAGAAGGCCTATCAAGGCCCAAGTGCAACTTCTTGGGACGTTTCCTCAAATTCCACATGGTCGGCGTGCTCCCGCTCCACGAAACCCGTACAGCCGACGACCAAAAAGCTTCAAAAATTAAAATCCCCCCTGGATTTCTGGTAGCTGCCAGCCACCACCATCCCAAGCACGGACTAGCAACGTCACGTGGAATCCCATCTCAAGGACCTCACCACAACGAACCCAGAAAATAACTCACCGACAGCATGGAGCCCAAACATGCTGCCTGCCGTGACCCATCCTGCGGTTGCCGCCAGTGACTTCAACAGCCATCACACAGCCTGGGGATATGTAACCCATGAAACTTGTGGAGAACTAGTCATCAACTGGGCCGCAACTGGTCACTTGTTCCTTCTGTTCGACGCGAAAGATCGAGGCACTTTCTATTCTGCACGATGGGGGGAGGATTCAAACCATGACCTGTACTTTGTGTCGTGTGCCAGTTGGGCTGAACCGCTGTGTGCTTCCAGGACGGTTCTGGACGATTTCCCGAACAGTCAGCACAGTCTGGTCTTGGTGCATATCAGGGTCGAAATCCCGACGATTATGTCCACCCCTGTGCCACAATAAAACTTAAGAAAGGCCACCTGGGAACCTTTTACTGAAGACACCAAGCTTGTGCTCAAAGCGGCCCGCTCACATATCCCACAGGGTTACTAGGTGGAATGCACTCAATGCTGGAGCAAACGAAGCGAGTCCCTGTTCCAGGAATACACACAGGCGAGAAACCCAGAATTTGGAAAAGCTGTCCTGGACTCCCTAAATGAATCCAGAAAACAAAGGTGGACAGACGCGAGGGAGTCATTAGATTGTGCTTAAGCCGTAAAGCCTGGTGCCTCCTGGGACACCTAGGAGCGGCACCGTCACCAACAAACAAGACCGCCAATGTGCCCGTCAATGCTATCGCCGCATAAATTCTGCTGGATGGAAAGAGCCCTGCAGACCGGCACACAAGACAGCGAGTAAAGGCACAACTCCACCAATCAATACCAGCATGTGCACGGACAACAGCCATGTCTTCCCCTTCACTGAAGCAGAGGTCATTGATGTCATGAAAGTCACCAGATCAGGAAAGGCCGCAGGATTAGATGGGATTTATCCTGAAACTGCTTGGCCAAAAAGGATGCCGATGGCTGGCCAGATTGTTTTCGGAGATAATGGCCTCAAAAGAAGATGGCGACAAACGAAGATCAATTGCCATTCCGAAGCCTGGAAAATCAACCGCAAACCCAAATAACTTTCGGCACATACCCCTGTTTAGTTACTGTGTATAAACTCCTGGAGAGGATGCTACCGAGCAATGTGTCACCGATCTTCGAGGAGGCTATACAGTACCAACTGAACAGGCTGGTTTCCACCCCGGCCGCGGCACACGCGACCAAGTGCTGGCACTCACCACGCACATTGAAGCTGGCTACCAGTGCAATGACATCACAGGAGCTGCTTTCATCCACCTATCAGCGGCCTATAACACAGTATGGCGGAAGGGCCTCATGCCGGTGTCGAAGGTCATCAGATGCCAACAA